CACACTGTTGTAAATATTTATTTTGCTTGATCTCCAAAAAAATATTTTATTTATCAACTTTTGCTCTTTACAAAGTCATAAGAATGTTTCGGCTTAAACTGGTGATATATAAGCCGTTTAAGTTTGAGAATCCATGAATACCTCTTAGAAGAGAGTGAGCAAACAAAAAATGTCCTGTACATGTCTAGTTTTTCCTGATCTCATGTTAGTGGCATCATAACTTTTACCATAATCTCGAACTTCCTCCTTTTATTTTTTATTTTTTGTTATTTCTACTTCTTTTTTCTACCTGCAAGTGATTTAAACTTGTTGTTTTAACAATTTTTTGTTTGTCTCTTGCAGCATGCATTGGATGCGAGTTTAACGCCAGGGGTGCAATGCAATGCCCCAACTGCAGGTCGATGGAGACCAGCGATTGGTTGTACAGCATGGAAGCTCCTGGGCTTGATACCATTGATGAAGATCCTATGCTTGATGTCATTGCTGAAGAGAGTGATGAGGAGACCAGCAATGCAGATGCGGTAATACCATTTATATGTCTTTAAATCTTTTTTTCAGTTCATGTTGTGCTAAGGTGAAGAGTACAATTAACGTCAAATAATTTGCTGTCCGCTAGATTAGGCTTGTGACTTGTAAGAATAGGCAGTACAGACGGAGGCCAGGAGAATGCAAGGGAAAATTTTTTGAAACCCAAGACAGATATAAAGCAAAAACTAGATAGGTTTCGCCCTATGGACTATTGCTTGTGCTTTGTCCTGCAAACTAGAATGGTTTAATGATAATGGTAGCTGCTATACATTGCAAATCCAGTGAAGATGACTGGCAGTGCCGTTATCGGCAATTAACACAGAAGATCTAGCCATAATTTAAGAGCAATTTTACTGTAACATCCGTTTATATATGCTAACAATAGAACTATAATAATTCTTGCTATGTTAATTCAGAGTAAATTTATACAGATAATTAAAGCCAGACAAATTTACTAGTAATTCAGTTGCATGGCCATGCTGCTTTAGTAGCCATGTAGAGGTTCTGTACCCCTTAGTACAAAGAAAGAATGTGAGCAACTCTGCTATTCAGATTTCCCGCTTAGATAGTTAAAAAAAAATGCCAATCACTAGACGATAATAATCATACATCTTATGCATTATACTTCAGCGATTACTAACTGTGGTACTTGAATTCTCCATGACCAGGACCAGGAGCAGGAGCAGGATCACAATTACCAGAACCAAAACTTTTTTCAGTGTCTACATGGGCATCCTCACTGCCCAGGGCCCGACGACGGTGATGATGCATGGCCTTTACGAGTTTACAGGTGAACACTTTACTTGAGAGCTTCCTGCCTTTAAGATTTTGATCCTTTCCCTTTCTATCAAAAATTAAGCATTTGACGTTGAAATCTTCGTTTACATACCTTCTTCATTTTTCTCAGAGATGTTACTTGTTGAAGTTAGATATAGTTTGTGAAGAGTTTTGTTTTGGGGGGGGGGGGGTGAGTGCTTTTCAAGCTTATTACTTCTAAGTTAACATTTTTTATTCTTCAAAATATTTTTCAAATTTTAGGCCTGTATGCATCTGAACTATTTCAATGCCAAATTGAACCTAAGCGTCTCCACTAAATTGACATATAATTTCAAGGAGGGCCAAGCAAATAAATTGACATATAATTAACCCGGAATTTTATTCCCATGATAGATAGAGACATGAAATTCGCTTAGCATATACTATTGATATCATTCTTCTACGTTTGGCAGGCCAACAGGGGCACTCCAAGTTGGAGGTAAGTTCTTCTTTCGGCAAAAAAAAAAAGGTTTATTTTCATTTTATTAATCCTTAAAAAAAAAAAAACGAGATGTTTGTTCGAACATGTCATGAATATGCAGGCAATAGCAGCAACGTTGGTTTCCCCGACGTCGGTGTCCACCAGCATAACTATTTCCCCTTGACACTAGCACGGCTGGCACCACCCTCCACCCCTCTCCATGCAAGCAATATTAATGATGCTGCAATTGGCCTTGCCAACAATGTCGTCAACTATAGGCCCCCTGCTGCTCTTGTCCCCATTGGGTAAGTTCTACTTTTTTTGTTTTTAGTAGCAAGTTAAATATTCTGCCAGCTTGTTACATGATTAACTAAATGCATGTCCGAGATCGATATCCAAATGAGTAAAAACCTTTTTCTTGTTATCGGATGATCCGTCATTCAAATCCATGTTTTTTTAAGTGAATTCCACGTATTTAATACCTACTGTTGAGTGTTAACCGATACTGCTACTAAATATTCGTACATCAATATATGCATGTCTGTAATTACAACTAGTATTTTGATATAATTAAGCATATAATTATGAAGAAAATTGATTATATATTTGTAAGGTCTGATCCTTCTGTTGGCAGACCTCATTTTCATCCAAGTCTGGCGACGTACCCCATTTTGCACGGGGGCAATCCGCCATCTCCATTGATGGAGGTTGTGTTAGCCAGTAGAGGAGGACCATATTGGGTTCCTCGCCATGAGCTGAACCTAGCTGGACCAGAGCCATCGGTGTTCAGTCAGGGCAGAGGCTGCACTACTTCTGCTGATCATCATGTGGAGCTTAACATGGAGCAGCCGCCGCCTCTTTTTCCCTCTACCGGCGACTATGGCGGTAATCCCAGTGAGGCTGCGAATCCAGAAGATGCAGATGCTCCAAGAATGATACACTTCCTGTGAAGCTTATCATGCAGAAACCATTAATAACCCTGGATATCGGGCAACCAAACCTAGTTTGGTCTATGGGAATTTTCCAGAAGACTTTGTTTTCTTAATCCAGTCATGTTTCGACTGCTTTGTTTTATGTTTGTGTTGTTGCGAGACATTCCTTGAGTTCCTTTAAGTATTATGCATGCGTGTAATAAATGGTTTTCCTTGTCTATACCAGCTGGTGGTGAGCTGTATCAAGGAAAGAATACAATCCAATATTTTCTACAATATGTTTATTGGACTTTTTGCGTTCCTTAATCTGTCTGTAGACTGTACACATATTGCATCATTTCTGAGTCTTGCAGGGATATACTTTGATTTTTAGGTGCGGCCGAGTAAGGCATATATCTCATCTCATAGGGGCGATATGGCAAGTAGATATAGTCAGTTGATAGCAAAAGTCAGTCATGTAGCTTTATTTGCATTACAGTTTTGGATTTCAATGTCACTTTTATCGGCATGTACAGCTTTATTTTCAAGGTTGGATCATGATACTTGTAAAAAGAAGCCAAAAGATGGCTACAGCATACAAGTATTAGCCAACCTCATTGTCATGTAGCCTAATATTATAGGGATGTTGGACATTTCTGTGTGTAAGTTCGTCAAAGACTCAAAATTATATGCTTGGGTAGGAAGAGAACGTTAATGATGCGATTGTTCAAGATAAGTGAAAAGTTCCGAGCTAGATAGATATCATACCTAGTTAAGCACGCTTTGGTCAAAAACTAGGGAGGAATATCGTATCATTACTAGCTAGAAGGTTTATATCCCAGTCAGCCGTTTACAACCAAAATATCTGCTTCCATTTTGAAAATATGCAAACCACAATAAGGGGGATTATTAATTAATATACCCTTAAAGTGGAAGCAATTACAGAATAAAATAAATTGGAAGGATGTTTGGCCAAAGATCTAGCAGCTTTGCTGTCTCTGTTATGGCAGAGAATTTGCTAGTGAATAGGAATCAGCTGGAGCATTGTCTTGCAGTCCAGCGTTAGTATCCTCATCAGGCTTTCCTCCAGTAGAGACACTGGTTGAACCTGGTTAATTCATTCGTCAAATCAAAGGCTTGGAGTAAAAAATAATGAAGACTCTATGAGAATAAGCACGATTTAGGAAAAGGAAAGAGAGTGAGATATTTATGAGATGTTTTTCTCATTCACTTACAGATGTTAATCATATTATTAGCAGTATATATAGTGTTAAGGACGAATCCCAGGCTTTGTAATGAGGTGGGTAATTGCATTTAATGAGGAGGTGTATACCTACCAGACCAACCTTTTTCCTTTTGCCCTTGTGTGTGTGTGTGTGTGTTTGAGTTGAGAAACACAAAAGTGCTCAATATAGAAAATGTAACATGGAGAGAAGAAGTTGCAGATTGTTGGTTCTAAACTCACATTCCATATAATAAGCTGTATGTTGTTGATTATAAACTCTAGATTTGTGTAATCTTATGGTTCATGTTGTGATCCACATTCTGCAACCAAAAGAAAATATAGTTAACCAAAAGAAAATATAGCTAAATAGTTTTCATTATTGCTCGATATTTTTCGAATCCTTCTGAAAATTTCCGGAGTTGAAAGGATCAATTCTCAACGGTGGTGCTATTTGTTTAGCTGTGAAATCAGGCCATGGACATTGCAACTCTCTAATTGACCTAAACTAGGAATATGTAAATCTTGCATGCCATGAAATGCTATTTGTTTTACATAATCAGTGTTTTTTTCCTAAATCATTCTTCAAAGGAACTTTACAAAAGTGGAGTATAATATTTTATATTAATCTTCTATATACTGACAGTGCATATACTTTTATCAATGGATGTCCGACACATAATTCGAATATAAATTTGAAACTCAAATTTTACAGATATATCATATAACTAATCATAATAGTGTATACATTGTCTGTATAAATTACTCTAATACTTTTGCATATGAAATTTTGTCATCAAAATATTTTTCAGGTATAAATTATTTTTCCACCGGAAAAGCTAGATCCAAGTAGAACTTTTAAGCCCATGCAGCAAGTAGCGTAGTACCGTAAAAAGAGACTCTAGTAAATCCCTTGTCCCTCCCGCTCCTGAGATTGAAACCGTGCTGGTAACTAAGCGCTTTCTAGAGTACATTCGAGACCACAAAAAGGCAGCTCAGAAGCTTGAAACCGTGCCTCTAAGTGAGCGCTGTCTCGAGTACTTTAGACACTACGAAAAGCCGTTGTTAATGTTGTATAGAGCAGTATTTATCCCAATGTTAGAGCGGGAAAGCCAAAAAATTTGAAGCCGTCAGCGTAGAAATGAAGATGAAAGTTGCAATCTTGAAGAACGACCGAGTCATGGACCTCAGTAATAGATAGAGCAGCAGAACCCTTCAATCTCCAGAGCCCAAAGTCGATCAATTCAACCATGGATGAAGAATCCATCAACAGAATTCTTGCAGAACTGGAAGCCCAAAATCCCCTTTCAGCAATTTCTCTCAAGGACCTTCAAACCCTTCTGGATTACACACTCAGAACCAATGATTCAACAGATCTTGAATCTTTTTATGCTGAAATTTCTTCAAGAAACCTCTCTTTAACTTCATTAACCAGTTCCATTTCCTCCCTCATGGATTCTACCGGACCCACAAGAAGTACTCTTTCCCTTTTAGCCTCAAATGTTTACCTTTCTTTGCTTTTATCCCCTAATTCTCCTGTTTTAACTCTGTTCACTCCCATGGCTTTTGTGTCACTGTTGCGGTCGATTCGTTGGGCTTTCAAGAACCCATCTCTGGTTTCTAATGACGGTCCTGGGGGTGAAAATCGGGGTAGAAAAAAGCGCGGTGGAGGGAGGCTAGGGGTGGGGAAAAATAAGGGAAAACTGGTGGAAGAGAGTGAAAATGACGGTGAAGAGGGAGTTATTGAGGCGAGGGTGTTTTTTAGTGTTCTGGAGAGGTTGGAATTAGTGTTGGGCTTGGTTCATTTGGATAGGTTTCCGGATAGTTTGAGGAGTTTGGTTCAGACAGTGGCTGAGATTCCTGTTGTGGCAGTTGAGGTTTGTAGGAGTTCAGGGAGTTATGAAAAGTTATGCGAGCTGAGTTCTCAGATTTTGAATGAAGTGCTTAAAGCTGAGCATGCGGATCAGACAGTTTCTGCAGCTGAAGTTTTGAAGTGTTTGACACCTTTGATGTTTCTTCCTAAATCACAGGCTAGGAGTTTTGGATTGCAGTTTGTGGTGAATAGAATGATGAGATTGGCTAACCATTCGAGTCAGATTAAGAAAGCAGTTGTCAATTTGCCCAAGTACTTGGTGCATAAGGCCCCGGAAAAGGCTGAGCCAAGGGCTTTGGCTGTGGAATCTATAATGGAGATTGTTAAAGTTTTGGCGTTTGAGGATCAAGTTGAATTTACACATTATGTAGTCAAGATGAGCCAAGGAAAAGGTCAATTTAGGCTTCTGTCCGTTGACCTAATTCTTATGTTGATGACGACATTGAGAGACCCCTTGGGATTGGATTCAGGTGATAAAGTTGAGAACTTGTGGGGTTTGACTTGTTTGGAGACATTAATTGAGCGTTGCTCAGATGTTACCGCTGGGATTAAAGCGAGGGCCTTAACTAATTTAGCTCAAGTTGTAGGATTTTTCTCTGGGAATAATAGGAGCAGGACATTGTTGAAGGAAGTGATGGGGTTTGGGAATGAGGGCTTGAGTAGCACGAAATGTAGGATGAATGATCTCTTGCTGAAACGGTGTATGGATGAGAAGGCTGCAGTCAGGAAGGCGGCTCTTTTTCTGATCTCCAAGTTAACAGTACTTTTAAGAGGTGCTCTTGATGGAGAATTGCTGAAGATCGTGGGCATGGCTTGTTCTGACCCCCTTGTTAGTATACGGAAAGCAGCAATATCAGCTCTTTCAGAGGTTCATTAGCTTACCTTGAAAATATATTTGATTGATCTTTATTTTATTTGTTTTGCTTATCTAAAGTTGTTGTCTAGGAAGAATCCAATTGCATACTTTGCTCTATTACCTAGATTTGCAAATACAATTTGTCATATTAACATGCCTGAAATGCCTTTTCAGTTATCCATATTCACGTGCATGATTTTGCAGTTCCTAAAGCACCTTTTTGTGATTTATTCTTTAGATTTCCCTTCCAATGAGATATGATAAAAGATAAAGCCCCAGGGTAAAGCATTTTGCAACCATTGGTACTGCATGCCTCATACAAAGCAAACTATTCTGCCACTCTTTTCTCCCAAGTTGTTATTGGCTGTATTAATCCTTTTCTTCCTTGGATGCTATAATAGTTTCAGATGCATTTTCTTTACTGCACATTGAATTAGCTGGATTTGTAATTCCTCAATCATATCTTGACATGTGTATTGCTGTGTAGGCCTTTAGATTATTCTGTGATACAAACGTAACTAAAGAGTGGCTACATTCTGTTCCACCTTTAATAGCTGACAATGAATCTAGCATCCAAGAAGAATGTGAGAGCCTGTTTTCAGAACTTGTTCTTGATCGAGTATCTAAGGTTCCATCAGATACCACATCCCATCATCATTCTTTCACGGATAAGTCAAATGGAAAGTCAAGGATTTTGGATAGAGAAATTGAGTTGTTATGTCCTGAGGGAGTTTTGTGTATACTAAAAGAGACTTGTGATGCAGAGGTGACTTCTTGGGTGAAGAAGATCTGTACAAGCTTAGGAAAGAAAAAAAGGCTCAAGCCCAAGATTGCTACAGCCCTCCAGAATATCATAAGGGCGTCTGAATCCCTGTGGTTGAGTCATTCTATGCCAATCGAGAAGTGGACAGCACCTCCAGGTGCCTGGCTTCTGTTATCAGAGGTGTCAGCATTCCTTCCAAAGGAGGTGGAGTGGGAATTCCTCCATCATCATTGGCAGCTCGTGGACAAGTATGAACCTGCTGGTGAGCTTAGGAGCCCACACGAAAAAAGAGATGGCAATGAGGAAATGGACATAGAACCTAATTCGGTTGCTTGGGCAGGGGACCGTGTCTTCCTCTTGCAAACAATCTCTAATGTTTCTGTGAAGCTGCCTCCTGAACCTGCTGCTGATCTAGCTCATAACTTTCTCAAGCGACTTGAGGAGTTCAACATGCATTCAACTGAGGTATCTATCAAACACTACTGTATTTTGTTCTATCAATTCCATCAGTATTGTCTTCTATTCTTTAAAATGCATTTCCTGTCCTAAATTTTTCTGTTGAATGGCCTCAAGAGTTGTAAAAGACATGAGATTTTACTTGGTTAATTAAACAGCACATCCGAAGAAGACTTTTGATATTTATTGATAATCTTCTCGATAGTTTCACTACAATAAAGCATGAGCATTTTCACTCAATTAGGTTTCATTCACTGTCAAAAAGAGTATGTATGGAAGGCCAGAAAGCTGCATAAATGTGGTTCATATGCTTATTTTTATCCCTTACCTGCCTTGGCTTGGAAAACAATGAGTTGCATGTTCTTTATTCTCCGGTTGCTGTATGACATCTTTGGCACATGTCTAAGCAGCTTTCAAACTTTGACAGGTTAATGCTCATGTAAAGGCACTCAGAACTCTTTGCAAGCGTAAGGCCTTAAACCCAGAGGAGGCAGATTCCCTTGTCATAAAATGGGTGCATAGAAGTTGCTGGCGTCTTTGTCGTTAAGTCAGGAGTTGGGCGTTCCACAAGAAAGCGTGCACAAGAAATTGTTATATGTTGCAGAGAGGAGGAATGATAAAATTAACTCGTTGAATTTTCAGATTGAATATACTGAGAAGCAATTGCAGCTACAACAGTTATTGCGTCCCCAGAAGAAAGAAGAAGCTGCTAAGAAGGTAATCTTTTTGAGCCATGAAAGTATGGAATTTTCTTGCTGTGTATATTTATTTATTTATTTTTGCTTACTTTGCTTGCATTTGATTGCAGGATGTGACAGCAGAAGCTTTTAAGCCTCTTACTGAGGAAGAAGAGACTGAGGTTAACCGTGCTCTTTCTAATTCCAGTCGGTATGAGTCAATGCTGTCTTTGTTTGCCTTTAAATGGCTCCATATTGGTCCATTTTATGCTGCTGTTATCATTTTATTTCTATTCTGTGGTTTACGTACAGGAGGAAGCTTTTGGTGACCCATGAAAATTCAAATATTAGTATAACAGGAGAAGTTTTGCAGTGCTTGAGACCACGTGCATGGTTGAATGATGAGGTGAACTTTGCTTTTTTGTCAGCTTCCATGAACTTGGTGAAAAGACTTCTTATCGAGTTAGCACAAGCATTTGACAAAGGTTTTTCCCTCTGTAAATGGGCTTTCTTCTTTTGCAGGTTATCAATTTATATCTTGAGCTTTTAAAAGAAAGGGAGAGAAGGGAGCCTAAAAAATTCTTGAATTGCCATTTCTTTAACACTTTCTTTTTCAAAAAGGTCAGTGAGCTCTCTTTTCCGCATTTAGGCAAGAAAAGGTTGATTGGTTGTAATAACTTCTATATGTATTGGTTCTTTTAGGGCTTAGACTTGAATGTGTTATTGTACCCATTTGTCAACATTTCATGCAATTTGCTTCAAAACTTACAAAATAGAAAATTAGAGTAAAAGGCTAAGTTTGGAATTTGAATATCAGTCTTCTAGATTTTTACCAGCATTTTTTAGCATCTATGAGATTGGAGAACTTAAACTGTACACTTTTTGGGAAGCATTGGAGGCCTGGGGCCCTGGGCATGAAGACTTCTATTGCAATTATGAGTTTTCCTATTACATAGTACATGCATAGAAGTGTGGAAAGATGGATAAGCTTGAAAGAAAAATTGTTTGTGTTTTTGTAAGGTGAATATAATACTAAGGATGGAAATCTTGCTGATGTTAAATATTGACTGCTAAGTAACATATGCCCTGTCATTCTCAAATTCTCTGCATGTTAAGGATTTCCAATTTGTTGGTCAAATCAAGTTAATGAAATTCTAGAAATTGGACTCCTGTTGCTTTTTAAATATACGGTGCATGCTTCGCTGAGATCTAGGTGGATTCAATCAATCAACTAAACCTACTTTGTGATGGTTTCTAGTTTTTTTTTTTTTTTTGAGAATGCTTTCTGCTTTACTAGGAAAATTTTTGCGTGAAGTTGTTGTAGAATTGCAACTTATTCATTTGAAAGAATTGTGAGGTCATGAGTTTGATATATGATGTGATTTGATAGGTTATCCTTAGATTTAAGAACTTTTTTTGTCTTCTATGCCTCAATCAGTTTTTTGGGTGACATTTGAAATTGCAGCTAGTTAGTGGAAAGGGTGGATATAACTATCAATCGGTTCGGAGATGGACTTCCCAAAAGAAGCTTGGATATTGTATCTTTGATTGTGATAAGGTAGGATCCTTAGATCCTTAGGTTGTTTTTGTGGAGTGCTGGATTTGATCCCTTGGCTTAGTTTAAAGTTAGATGATGTTTCTAAATTATTCAGATTTTTGTACCAATTCACAAAGAAGTCCATTGGTGCTTAGCAGTCATCAACAAGAAGGATGAAAAGTTTCAGTATCTTGATTCGCTTGGTGGAGTTGATAGTCAAGTGATTAAAGTACTGGTAAGCTTTTTTTTTTTTTTTTTTTAAAGTGCTTTGAGTCCTCAATTACAGGGTTGATAAAGTTGTCAGAGGAGTTGACTCACTTATATGGTCTTCAAACAGAGTCATAATGGGCCTTGCTTTCACTAGTTTAAGAAATCCAAAACGAAATGTCCCATATTGTTGTCTACATGTTAGCTGCAATTCTTCAATTGTTCCTATGATTGATTTAAATTTTTTTTTTTCTTTCATTATAAAGAAGTAAAAGAATGTTCCTGATACATAAAGAAAGAAGACAAAAGTTTTGGTGTTTAACTCATAGTGCTATGTGGTGATGAAGCCAGTTTTTTTATATTTATATCTCCAGGCTAGATACATTGTAGATGAAGTCAAGGACAAGTGTGGCAAAGGGATTGATGTTAGTTCCTGGCAGCAAGAATTTGTTGCGGACCTTCCAGAACAGGAGAATGGGTACTGAAGTTTCTTTTTGGTCAAATTTCTGCTTGCAAAATGGTTTCAACCCGAGAAATAGTTCTAAGCTAATATCCATATCATTTAGTGATTTATCTTATGTCTAGGAAAACATTCCTTGTAAACTGCTAATAGCCTAATACATAGCCCTTTATGTGTATGAAAGTTAGCAAAATTCTGGCCCTTCCCACCCTCACCAATAGCAGCAGGTATATGAAATAAATTTGCCTCGTGCATCTAGTGATATTTGGATAGATATTTGACATCATATCTATGTGTGCTCTCTGTTAAATTGCTTATAAGCACCAATTATAATTTGAGGTTAAAATGTGGGAGGTTAGAGGTTAAAATGTGGGCGGTTAAAACGCCTACTATATCCTGTCTTTGGTTAGTGAATCTCCTCTTTGTCATCTTCTTCATTCTTAGCCCAATTTCGACTTTTGTTATTGCAATATAGATCGTGTGAAATGGCAGTCATCATCACTTTCACAGGATACCTGATTAGTCTTTTCTGCCATTTACCTTTGGGATGCTGTTCACTTTCTGTTGTTAATTGTTGTGGTTTGCTCATGTGGTATGAGCTTAAATGATTGTCCCTCTGTTTTGTCACTGGTGCAAAAAGATTGATTTCATTTAGCTCTATTATTACTGTACAAGCGAAATTAAGAATTCTTCTCCATTTTTCTTTATGAATTGTTCAATAAAAAAAGGTTTTTGTCTGTGTTATGAGCAGATTCGACTGCGGTGTGTTTATGATCAAATATGCCGACTTTTACAGTAGAGATATTGGACTCTGTTTTAATCAGGTAAATGCACAACCTGAGAGATATGGTTTATTTATGTCTTTTAAATCTTCTTGAGCCTGCGATTAGCTTGACTTTACAGGATTTCGTCATTCTTTCTTATTTGAATTTGTTGGATACTTCAGATTCTGAAGGAGATTTTAGTTTAGAATTGCAGAACATCAGAAGGAGGCATGTGCAGATTGTTTATAAACTGCAGTGTATTAAATATCTTCTCTCTGTGATGCTGTCGTAGTTCGGTGTTGAGATAGCCATAACATATTATTCCATGGAGCATTCATGTCTCTAGTTGTATGTCGTCTGTTTATGAAGGGATCAGGGGTGTATGTTATGTCAGATGAGAGTTAGCTGACACTGAATTGGTGAGATAATTAACTAGAAAGGACAGAGTTATCATGGGCCAAAGAAAAAACAAAGTGAAAATAGTGTTTATTACTTCCGGTTGTACCATTAGCAGATTTGGTTGTGTATTATTGTAACATTAGTAGGATTGGACAGCATTTCATGGAAATTTCTGAAGCTTAGTTGATGCCTTTAGCTGCCATGTTTACCCAGTGGTTAATGTCAGAACAGGTTGTCTTGATTGTTTGGTAATTTGTAATCTGTCTGTCTATTGAGCTTTCTCTGTCTATTAAGCTTTTTCGTTATTCTGTGCATCTGTATGTCAAAGATCGAGGTATGGGTGGGGGAGACGAGGTTTACTAGGGACTTAAGCATGTTATTCATTACTGCTTTTAATATCTCCAAATGTCGTAGTTGCTGCTTTAGCTTTAGATTGAAAGGGCTCTTCTTTCTAACTTGTGTTTTCTTCTTGCCTGTAGGAACACATGCCATACTTTAGGCTGAGGACCGCTTTAGAGATTTTGAGGTCAAAAGCTGAGTGATCATTCTGGATGCTGTATATTTGCTAATTGACAGATCATGGATATGCATGAAAATGCTGGAGAACGAGGAATGAACAGATTAAAACAAAAAAATGACATCACTTGACATCCTGGTACGAGTGACGTGGCATTTTATCTTTGCCCAAGAGTTTGGTAACCTTTTTCCCCACACGTGAGGCAAATGGACAGCTATCAAGTTTTTTTTTTTTTTGGTTTTTTTCTTTTCCTGGTATGGTTTTGTTTGGGAGCTTGTGGTTTTGATGCTGGTCATCTTCTCTGAGTGACTGCCTATTATTGGTGCGCCGAGTAAAGGTTACCTTCATCGGAGATGTAATCTCTGGGGCCCTTGTTTCACTAGGAAATTGGATTGATTCTATAGTGGTCTGCACCAATTTTTTTTTTTTGGCTTAGAATGTGAAGGCATGTATACTGCAGGATCAGGTCTCCATATTGTTAATCTTGTCTGTTTTTCCCCGTATACTTGCATTCATTTACGGAGGGATTTTTTGCGCATTCATATCTTTCCTTTCCCTCCCCCGTCTGCTGACAGATCGCCTGTAGCTGTTTGGGTGCGGTTGGATCCAAACAGGGATTGGGACGTTACCGAGTTTTATGGCTTAAAACAAAAAATACGTCTACACCTGTATTCCAACTCGCAAATCAGATTTAGTGCTTCACAAGCCCTCTTTTCGCTACGGGTATAAACGAGACGAGATTCTTCTGTCAACAGGCTCTTAGTAAACATAAACGGAGGGGAAATAAAGGATTTGGAAGTGGGTAAAGAGTGAAGTATACTCCCGAAAAATGAGAAGATTATCCCTTTCAGTACAAAGCGTACGTCTCCAAATCATTTCAACAATCATCAAACAAGAAGTCCCATAAACCCACCAACGAAAGAAGACATCACTCATTTTGGAATACATTCTCTATACAACCAACACCACCTACGAATATGATTTCTTGCATCATTGTTTGAGCCAGCAATTCTGAATGTTAAGCCTCAGCTTATACAACTTGAGTTACAACAAAGCCTATAAACGTCTCAACATTGCAATGACCACGTCACTCCGTCCTCTGCAACCAGTGCACTAGGCAACTTTCGAAGATCTTGTGGTTTATCCAAGTGCATGATGCAACTGCACTGCTGATGCCATTCTTGACAATCATAAATGTCCACATTGATACATATTTGACAAGTACTTTTCAGCTGTACCAAATTGTGACATGCAAAAGTCAGTGGATATAAAGTAGATGCGGGTCATGACATTTACAAGATATTTACCCCTTAGCGATGCACCCGCTTTCTACTCAATATTTCTTGTTCCTTCAGACGATGTTGGAATCTGGCAAGACGAGCCTGTAGGCTGACCAGACTTGCTGCTTTACGTGAAAGCACAAAACTCAACTGTGTCACGTAATTATCAATTAGGCTTCCGGGTTGATCCACCTCCGCGAGTAGTTTCATTTCCTGAAATCAGGAGCACAAGTTAGGCTGATAAGCAGTGGCACTAACAAGCATCTCTCTACAAAGATCAAACCTTTCTTTCACACCCAGACATTTCAACTGGCATATGCGCTCAGTAAAGTTACTATTTTACACTATAAGAATCCACGAGGTGCAAGCATAAGTCAGAAGCAGCATGGAAAGTACACTTACTTCACGAACAATCTCCATTGTGTCTTCAATTTCCTTTCTATGGGCAGCAATGAGGGCCTCTTCTTCCTTCACAATCAAAACAGTGAAACTACCATTTCAGCATCTACTAGAAAAAACTACTCAACATGCACAAGGAGTTTGCTTAAGCACACAACAGAAACCAACCTCAAGTATCTCATTGATACTATCTTCATGAGGTTGCTCAGGCTCATATTGCTTAGACCCAACACCATTTGTGTCGGCAATATTCACATTTTGTTGTTTATAGCTAGACGACGAATCAAAATTAGCAGCATCTTTTCTTGGCCAATTTCCCAGTTTTTCGGGCCTTTCATCCCTATATGTTTTCCGACGGGGAGGAGACACTTTCTGCACTTTCTCTTCTGTATCGACTGGAATCTGAGGATACACCTTTCGACGTGGAGGAGAAACTTTCTGCACTTTCTCTTCTGTATCAGCTGCAATTTGGGAAAATGATGTCAAGTTAATTTTCTGACTTGAACCACCATGACTGTTTTTCATATCAGACCTCTCCTTGTCGGGAGCACTGGAAGTTGCTGTACTTTCCTCCAGTCCAGAAGTATAATTTGATGTAAAACTAGAAGGTTGTTTATCAACATCACTTGAAGAATTGTAAGAAGTAAATTCCTTTTGTACAACCCTTCTGTTATCCACTGCTTTAGATTCCTGATGTTGGTCCACCAAATCCTCTACATCAGCAGAGAAAGAAGAAAATGGTGCTGATGAGGATTCCTTAGTACTGGAAGGTGGTAATGAACTTGAACCCTGATCCTTTTTTGTATTTCCACTTTTGGAGAGACTTTTAACCCTGTTCATATGATGAGCTTTAGTGACATAGTAAACTGTTATGTTATAACTCAAATTTGGTCCTACCCACCACCACACAAAAAAAGGAAAAAAATCTCAAAGAGATGACGATACCTATCAGCATATCTCAATGTATTGAGTGTGTGTTCACATGAACCAGCATTAGGAGAAATGCACGATATCATAACAGTCCTTGAGTTGCCGACAAAGGAGTCACGGAGCACCTCAGTAAGTTTGCTCCCACGAAAAGGAATATGGATCTGGTCATTGTCCAAGGCACGAATACACTCCTTAAGAGCCAAAAGACTCTTGTTAATTTCTGCTCCTTCAATCCTTAAACAGAATAAAAGTAGCGTTTGAGTGCAAAAGTGGAGCTTATTTTAAGCACATAATGAGTTAACGTGATACAAACAAGAAGAATTGCTCAACTAAGTAAAACACTTTGTTTGAAGCATCAAAAAGAAGTAAGAGAGAAGAAGAGACTTTTTTTTGAGAAGAAAATACGTTATTTAGCCAGAAAGCAATTAACAAAGAAAAAATAACTAATCTCTGAAGACGAGGTACTACTTTAGGCACTCATAATCAAGGCAATAAGAAGGCATTCTCATTGGTAAGTCAAAGATAAAGCCAAATGAATGTTAAATCGGATCAAACTCAAGAGGAAATGGCTGAGATCCAACTCCCTGCCCATGCGGCAGAAGGTTTGAATGACAAGTCTTGTAAACACATTTCCCACTATTCTGCAAAAAAACAAAAGTAGTTTCAGGAATTATTACCGTGTTTGCCGGTCAGTGTCCGTTGTATCAGCACCTCTCTCGCTACCAGCAAGATCAATGAAAGAAATCTTCCCAACAACCTTCCCGCTCCTGGATTCATTTCCGTCATTGTTCCTCCTGGAGTCTTTAATCTCATTATGCTTTTTGATAGCAAGTTGTAATATTGCATGTGACCGCGACGATTCCTCATTGGCACCAGTAGAACCTGTACTTCTCGCCGCATTTCCCCTCTCAATAAATTCTTTAACAATCTGGACATCAGATACTTCAAATTCTTGTAGTCCAACAATGCAAACTTGTTGTCGTCCATCTTCTCTCATGCACAGTTTTCTGCATTTGCACAAGAAAATGAGTAACCAAAAACAAGCAAACATCACCATTATCAAGCACTTAAATGGAGAACTTCTCATGATTGTTGCATCAAGCAAGAAACCTAACAACGCCAAAGAGAGTACTAACTTCCTGTCACTGAGAAGATCAAAAAGTTTTCCGCCATATATCTCAAAGAAGCTGAGCCACAACTTAAATCTCTGATTACGATAAACTGGCTGATGCAGCAATCTAACAATGTCTTCTGCAGCTCTAAGAGGTAATGGCTGCATTGTGTATGTCTTGCCACTCCCTGAAGAAATCACAAAGGAAAAGAGAGAAGAATGTAATTTAGTAGTATCTAACACGATTAGAATGAACAGAGGCCCATGACTAGTCAATGATTCAGAGAAAGGTCCACAAAACCACTATAACTACAGGAAACTAACTATCATGCACCCTCAACAGTTGACTAAGGAGAGGTGGTGTAAGGAAATATGTGTCATTCAGACCATTTTAACATAAGAAGTTGCCGATGGACAAGATCATAACCAACAATCCAACAAAAGAGACAGAAAGTACCTGTCTGGCCATATGCAAAACATGTGGCTTTTGTCCGCTGGAAGATGGTAGGAATAATTGGTTCTACAGTGACTCGATATACCTGATCCAATTGACAGAAAGAAGGCTTAAAACCTTCAAGGGTCAAAGAAACAAAAGTGGACATATTACAGAAGATGCAAAAATGAAAACAGTTACTTCCCAGCCTACAAATGCAGAATACATACTAGTGACACGCAGATGACCCCCAAGGAAGACTCACACAATTAGAGAGAGAGAGAATCACCTAAGTACAGCAGCACAGAGGCACGATAAAAGACTTTTTTTTTTCTTTTATGAACCAAATTCACAATTACTACAACCCCCCCCCCTCCAACCCAAAAAAAAGAGGGAGAGAGAGAGGAACTCTCTTCACAGAAATTTCAGAGCAATGCAGTATTCAAGGCTAATTTGTGCTACCCAAACATCAAGGGTGTTACCTCGTCATTTGTCACATGCTCATCCAGAACAGCATCAAAACAAAACTCATGCTTCTCAACGTAGGCAGTCAAGTCAACCTTCAAAATAAAATTATGGATAGTGTCATAACTAATGCGGCTAGAAAGCAAAATGAAAGAAACATGATTTTTATATTCAGCTTTCATCATCCTAAATTTCCTATGACATGGTAAAAAATTATGAAGCCATCATTTTTAAATGGTTGAGATATATACCTTTAACTTCGGTTCATGAACAGTCAAATAAGCATCCTCATGTACAGTTACAATGTCATCTTCTTTACGAGCAATTTCCTTCTTGTTCAAAGGTCTTTTACGCACCTAAGACAAACATGAAAATATAAGATGAAATGTCCTGTCACAAGAACAGCAAAGAGTGGCAAAATAGATCAGTATACATAAAAACAGCAATAAAACTCAATCTCTGCTGCAAATTGTTATTGTACAAGAATTTTATGTTATCTTATTTCATAAGAAATACTACCAAAGATTAGGCATCATAAACAATGTACTTATGGTAGATGAAAAGTATTTATTAGAAAAAATATAAGAGAGGGGGTTGTAGCTCCATAAACTTCCAACCTTTTGTTTGAATGTACTTCAAATTGGGAATTCCATGGGAATAACAGGATCTTTAGTGTCCACAAAAAAAAATGGAGGGTTCTATGGATGCTTCAGTTAAAAATTCGGGAAGAAAGAGAAGTTTTATGGTATGGTATTGAGATTGTTGGATATCTTCATCAGAAGATGAGGTAAAATAGATCAACAAATACTAAATCAAAACTTTCAAACAATTGAAATGACAATAAACTTTTCAATGTGACATCCAGTCCAACTTACGTAGACAACACTCTTAGGATTGTAACAAATGGATGTGTGTCCTTTTTTCTGATTAAACACATGAGCAGCAATTGCATATGACAGAAGCGTAAAAGGAAGTATATGTCACTGCAACCCACATTTGAAGATATTACTTCCAATCTCTTAGCAGATGGGAACATAGAAAGTTTGCATTAGCAACATCCCAAGAAGAAATAGTAATTAAACTTTCTGATGGAAAAAGCATTAAAAGATACATGTGTACATATAGAAGAACTGCAGCAAATGCAACATTGTCATGCTTAAACTGAGGCCACATAGAAAATGGTTGGTAGAAGAAAAATAGAACAAAAGCAACAACTCTTGCAACAATACGAAGGCTTACACAGCTCCTAGCAGGTCTTGAATTTACAGACCAAACCAAAAACAAAATGACAGCTCACACTCTTGTTCACACATAAATGCCATGTCCCATCAACAAACCAGTAGCCCAAATATATACTCTGTACCCCACCAATTACACAAAGAAACCCAAACACAAATCCACGCATAGACACAGAGGGATGTTGGGGAGAGTGTTTTGCAACAAGAACAACGCACCACAACTTTAATCTTAGCCACATTGTTTTCTCTTGTGTTTATATCTTTTTCACTTGCAAGAAATCCAGATGGAACATCTGCATCAGTTTGTCCTTTTTGAAGCTGACTGGGTATCACCTCAAAATCACTGTCAAATGCTTTACTCACAGCTGGCATGAAAGGTGACGGCTCAAATGGTTCCGAAATGACATGCTGAAAGAGGAAATCAAAGATACCAACCATAAGTATGTATTAGCCGTCAGCAAATAGATATGAACAACCAACTACACACCCAAATTCTGCAGTATAATGTCATCACAGCAACGTCAGAATTCATAACCATGCCAGATGATTATAAATGACTACATTTACAATTTAGTAAATCTACACATAAAATTTAACTGCCTTTAGATAGCCAAATTTAACTGTCTTTAGATAGCCACTAAATTAAACAAGGAAGCTAATACTCAAAAGCCAAAATCATGTGAAAGCGTATCTCATAATTTTTCTTTCACAAAAGAATTTCATAAACATATCTGACATGTTGTAATTCCTCATTTGAATGTAATTCTAATATATGTCATCATGTGCCATAGTGTAGAAACCTGATCAACAAATAAGAATCTCCATTGAAATAACTTGCACTGAGGAAAAAACAAGATGTCTAAAACTGAGAGTAAATGCTAAAGATCCCTTATCAAATAAATGCCCAACATCCCAAATCATATAAAGGGAACTAACAATTTAAAATAACCAAAATGGCACATTATCATTCCAAACCCTTTGACAAGTGAATGTACAGCAGGAAGCACCCAATTGTATCAAATTCGAAACTCAGGAATACCAGATAAATAAGAATCAAACCTCAGATAAGAGCTCTGTATCATCCATAGAGTGTAGGTCCAAAAGGCCAGCACCAAAATCCCCTCTAAATTCAGGAGAATAAAAGCCATCTGATGCTGCAAACCCACTCAAACTTTGGGAGGTAGGAGTGTACGGCTCAGAACCAGGTTCACCGTTAAAATTCAGGTTTCTCATTAGTTTAAATAGCCTTTGTTTCTCTTCTGCAGATTGTGCTCCATAGCCCTTTTAAACAATATCAAGTTTCTACAGTTATTCATGAACTAATATAATATAGCTAAACTGATAGGATAAATACATGCAAATATAAGATTTGGCACTTGATATTTCTTTTTTTGATAATTAGATTTCTTCCATATCAAATGCAAAATGCAAAAGTATATGATTTTTCATTTCTATGAAATGTCCTTAAATAAAGCCAATTACACAAAGCAATTTCCGAAAGAAACTGTACGAGTTACCATTTATCAAACGAGGATAACGAAAACCCAGGAACCATCAAAAGATATCAAGCGACCTATCTCCCTCCCTCTCCCTTCCCCTCCCCCTCCCCCCAAAAAAAAGGGGGAAAAAATCATGAAAACACAATAAGATATTCTGAAGCAAAATCTGGCGAGTCCTCATATCAAATATCATTTAACTTCAAAGATCGAAGGTGAAAGCATAAATAACAGACTCTCAATCTAAGTAGAAGTTTCAGGTATGAAAACCTCAATGCCCAGATAATACCAATCGAAGCACCTGATTCTAAAAAGAATTAGTCAGTGCACTTTCTTTTGGTTCGATACAAAAGTTCAATCTTTTTAGACATTTCCTTGAAATTTAGAAAGCTGAGAATTGAAGAGACATTATAGGTAGAAAAGCACCTGCATGAGAAGGTTAGGAAGGAGCCGATGATCAATACCAGTAGAGGCCAATGGAGAGGCCAGATGCTGCAACCCGGCAGACTGAAGCCACCGCGCCATAACGGCGTCTCCAGCATCACCGCTGGCGGGGCCCCCATTGCCGGGGTGATCATACAGAGCAGTGGCGGCAGCGTTGCTCTGCTGCATCTGGCCACCCATGTGGCGCTGTGATCGCCGCTGAGGAGCCAATTTTCAAGATCTAATTCCCAAAGCTTTCCCACCAAAAAAAAAAAAAGGTAATACAAGTCACCGCTAAATTCCTAAAAACACTTAAAAATCTGCCAAAACCGAAGAAAATTTTTAAAATGCTAAATTTTACTTACAGTGAGGTGAAAAGTCCGAATCAAAGCGGCACATTAACGAATTGAAACGCCCAAAATCCAATTCAAAATCAGAAATTTCGCCGGTGATCACAGAAATGAGATTAATCGGAGTTAAAATCCGCCCTAGAAATGATCAATTCCACAATGCATGTTAGGTAGCAGAAATTAAAATAAAAAACCTTATCTTGAATCTCGATATCTAAGCATAAATTTCGCAACAGATGACGCAAAAAAAAAAGGGAGCGAAAGCGGGGGACAGGGAGATCACCGGATGCCGGAGAAGAGTGAGAATTGTGCGATCTGGGGGAATGAATCAGGCTAACTGGGGGAATAGATCTGGGAGAAATGAGCAAAAAACCCTAACTTGATGGTGTAAAGAAAATATAGAGAATTTGAAGTGTATGAAATTGAGTGGGTGTTGTGCGTGTTTTTGGGATTGCTTTGGAGGGATGAGAAACAGAGAGAAACTGAGGTTAGTATTTTATCACAAGCCGGAGACACAAGCAAGTTCTGATGGAGAAATTATATCTGTATAATCTATAATCTATATTCTAATCCCATATATCTCGTTTGTTGGAGGTATTTATTGGAAGGTGATTTTTTTTTTTTTTTTTTAAAAAAAAAAGGGAAAACTGAAACGGCTATATTTGAGTATGTGAAATGACATCTTTAGTCTTTACCCTGCTTGCTTATTTTCTCCATAAAGCTAAAAATTACCATTTGCAAGATTTTATAAAATGGGTGCAAACTAAAACAAAATGAAAGCTCCGGAAAGGGTTAGATTTAAAGAGCAGAGAGGAACTCAGAGAAATTCTGAGTCCAATAAATTGAATTTCTGAGACATTAATCTCAACCACTATGCATGCCTTCAAGTGATGTATTTTTCAAAATGGCCTCCCCAGTTTTGAATAGCTTCTGGGATGCTGCCTTGATTGGAAGCTTGTGCTATAAAGAAAAACTATAATCAAAGTCATGGAGAAAAATTGGACATTCCATTCTCAGCACTTTCCTGATTACAAGCTGGTAATAAGATAGGAAAATGAAGGCATCAGTAGCCCCCCTTTTAAAGACATCAAACCCTTTTAATGTGCCAAGAAAAGTTTCCACCTTTTAATATACCCATCTTATACTACAGTTCTATTATGTGAACACCAAGTTAAACTAAACCCCTTTTTTTTTGTCTTTTGGGTAGGTTAAACTAAGCTAGTGAAATAGAGAGAGTATTTTAGTGCCCTTGTGGCATTATTGTTCTCAGAAACAGATCTGAGTAATTTTCCTGCATCTCTGACCAAACCAGCTGTGGCATGGGCATGGGGCACAGTGTACAATACGCATAGTTCTATAACTCTCGGAGTTGGAGGCAGCAGACAATTTACCCTTAGCTAGCTCAAACTTGCATGCAGTCTGATTCTCTTGTCGTCACTGCAGCAGCCAGGGATGATTGACCTGACTTGTCCCATTATTTTCAAGGCAAGGTAACTAGGCAGAGTGATGACATTTTTTTGTCCACTTTTAGTTTTATCAAACATATCAACTCCCACTTTTATCGCTTTCTTGATTCCACCAGTACCTACTGTAAATACTCAAATTTTGATATTCTCCTGTTCTTTCTTTTTTTTTTTTCTTTGGAACCTTATTAGCATGTTATAGTATGTGGCTGACTGATATTTTCAGGTTTTAGTTGAAAAAATGCTCAAATATCTATTTGATTCGGATGCCACCATAAAAATATCATCATTTCTTGATTTTGAGAAACCCCCCCCCCCCCTCCGGTCTCTCTTTATAGTTCTTATCTGACAAAAAATTATATATACATAAACACTAATGAATGCCATGGATATTGATGGTCCAAATAAACAAAGATGCTAGAAGACAATAAATAACTTCTTGCCAAGACCACAAAATAACCCTATACTATGTTAAAATCAGAAAGCAAAAAGAGGTGGTTTACTTTTCATTTCTGCTGTTTAGATAAATCGAATATGCAAATTCATCTTCTTCTTATCAACAATGCGTCAATGCCCCACCCCACAAAATAGAACAAACAAGAACCTCGATGTGTGAACTCCACTCAAAGAGCTGGTAAATAAATTGGGCAAATTAAATAAGGAAAACAGTTATAAATGCGAAATTCTGCCATTGAGTTCCACCCAAGACTCGTAACTAAAGAACCTAATGGGATCTTTATCTTTTTCTTGAACCTATTTATGTTTTATCAGACAACTCATGCTCTTAAGCTTGCCAGCCTGCTCAATATGTAAACCTATACATTATGCACGGCTCAGAAGTTGGAACTTAGAACCCATTTCGCTTTTTCTTTTTTCTTTTTTGGGTTTTGTAGGAGGTTGTTTTTGTGGTTGGGGGGGGGGGGGTTTGGTGGCATGGTTGGGTGGAACTCTCTTATCTATAACAATTCTTGATGTTTAATTACTTGAATAGTATACACGTGAGGCGGTCTCTGGATTTTAGTGTAAAAGCAACTGAAGCACTGATCTCTTGGCAATGCAATGTCTGATCCCAAGAACCTTCGTCATCTTAATTCGCTTCCTTATCCAAGAACCTTGCAGATGTACTACAATGGAATGGAGTGGACCCTTTACAATGAATCACGATTAGAAAAAAAAAAGGGCTGATTCAACAAGGCAAAAGTTAGTAAATTTGATTGTAGTAATAGTCAACAGAATCGTGTCCAAGTTCTTGTTTTCGGGAGACAATTGGTATATAATTACAAGGAAGAAAATCTGAACAACTCTGTACTCATTCTGAGGTTGTAATATGATATGGACTAGGAGTTTCCTTTATTTAAATGTTTTAGGTGGAAATGGACGCTAGGGGTTTGCAAGATGCTTTTGACTGCCGGCCTCTCAGATAGACTATATTCTATATTTAGGAAGATCCTTAATCAGTTTCTTGCTATCTTTTATTCTTTTGTTTTTCTTTTTTCTTTTCTTCTCTATACATAGTGATAGTGTGTGCATTCATGGCAAAGGAGTAGTACATACTAGTATAAATTAATGGTCAATTTAATTCCAAGTTGATTGAAGTTAATTAATGCGAACCACCCGAATAGTGGCAGCCCTCCGTCCTAATCCAATGAGTTGGTTGGCAGGACAGGAGGTGCTACATTTCCATCACATGCAACTATTATGAGAAGTTTGGCAGAAATGCAATTTGCAGCTAGTCTGATGCCTATGTTGCTGTTCAAATAATTTTTGCCTTTTCTTTTCGAAAATTCTGAATTGAAAATCTTGATAATCTTGATCATAGCTATTTCCACACACAAATCAAGCTGTACTAAATATGAAAGTACGAGCACCCACGAGGACTGATAAGTCCGTCTTTACGGTAAGATCCCGTGTTCGACCTTCGCTGTGGTAAAATTGCTAACATCCTTGGATAGGGCTCTGTTGGGTTTAAGGGGATTAGTCTGGCAAAAAAAAAAAAAAAAAGGCTGGAACACCCCCTAAGTGGAAAAAAATATATGAAAGTATGAGGGATTCCTCAATATGCTCTATTCTTCCATTATCTTTAATACATGTCCAAAGTCTTTTCACTAAATGTTATAGCATCTTGTAAACTTATCGTGTCAACGTTAACGGTTTATGTGTTGTACTTAACTAATCTAATCTACATTGCGCAAGGTTTAGTACATGAGTTTTACATGGATCAAAGTTAACTGAGAATTTTCTGTTCTTTTTAAATCAACCTAGCCACTTCAATTAGACAAAAAGAAAAGAAGTCTTCTTGGACGAGTTTGATTAGGTGGGCAACAAAGAAGAAGAATGATGCATACTTGCGTATTTCAAACGTGGAGCCTTAAGCACTTTTGAATCCAAGTATACAAAGATGTGCATATAAATTACCTAACTTATCATGGCTTGCCGTACACTTCTTTTGCAAAAAAAAAAAAAAAAAAAAAGCCTTGCTTTTACTTAAAGTATGTGGGGTGGGGTTGATGAGATTCAACGATTAAGAGTGCAATTTGAATGAAAGTTGGTTTCATCCATCCACTGAGACTCTTTAGCTGGTAATTAGCTCCCACCACCCTGTGCGCTATAAGCTATGATGCACCAACTTCCCAAAGATTAGCAATGATGCAGTGCTGGTATATATTATTAACACTAATGGCCTTATTTGCAGTTATTAATTAGCTTATTCATAAGATCAAAACTTGGGTTATAATAATATATGATGGATCTCACAAGGTGAGCATCTGTTATTAGGCTCTGCATGTGGCGTAATCTGAAATTAGGATATCATAGTCCAAGTTGACAAAGCAATCATGATGGCGTTGAATAATTAATCAATGAATACCGGTGGATACAGATGAAATACATGAGAATAGAACCCAATTTTCTTGGAAATATCTGATTATATCTAATGGAAATGGAAACATCTAATGATATCAAATGGTAATTACAATTAAGCCAGCAGAAGAGAGGATTTCTACTTACAGATGGTTTGTAACTTGATTGCGGAAACTAAGAAGGGACTGATTGAAGAAAATAATAAATTTTGTCCGACAAAGTAACAAGAAATTTGTTGTGTATGGATTGCATTTTCCATGATTTTTCATGGAAAAATTACCGTAACGATTTGATGTATGCGAGGGAAAAAGGTAATAGAGAAATATGATTACGAAAAATAACGTAATTTTTCGACAGAAAACTGCAATCCAAACAATTTGTCCGAGTATATTTGAATGGAATATGCATACTCCGTCCGAATTTGAAGTCACGGTCGTTGAAACTGTTAAAACTACCCTTTTAGATTCAAGATCGTCGTCGGTCGCGGCCATGGCAGCGAAATTCTTTGGTCACGTAGGATGATTTTCTGCAAATTAATAAATAAGAGTGAATTTTTGCTTTTGACAAAATAAGTTGGAGGCCAAGTAAGATATACAAAGACAAGGGTGAACATAAATAGGTTGGGGGGTTGATTACACAACCCAACACGTAACGAATATAAAGGCCCTCTCTGGTCTTCTCTCCAATTTTGTGTGAGAAGATATACGTATATTATATATACTAGTAAGGCCTGGCTGTGTCTACCCACTCTAAAGTGTTTAAAGGTAACAAAATTTGAAAGATTGTTTATGAGTTAAGTGTCATGCGTAAATATATTATAAAGAGCATCTTAATGCATTGCTGGTTAATAAAAGGAAAAAATTTGTTGTAATAAAAAGCAAGTATTAACGCATAAATAAAATAGATAGGAAAAGTGTATATTATGTTTGATGACAATTCCAATCGATTTATACAGGTTTAACAATTTGAAAAAATCCATTCAATTTGACGATTTGTAACAAATGCAACTTAATTTTAATATAGCAAACAATTCTCCAAGGCCTTGCAGCAAATATAGCAAGTAGTATATTACATTTCATTAAAGATGCTCTGTTATGTGAAGACAGAGGTAAAAAAGAGAAAATCCAGAAACGAAACAGGGAACATTTCACTAAAGAAAAAAAAAAAAAAAAAGAGTTCAATAAATTGAAACATCAGAATTTGTAGGAACTGAATGCAACATCTTTCTTTTCATTGATGCTTAAAAAAAAGATGGTTAAAACGGAAAAACAAACCCAAAGAGCTAGTTGACCAGGAACTTGAAGGACAACAGTACAACAAACTTTGCCTGGTTTATCTGCCGTGCATTGGACAGAGACCAAGTCTTCAGGAGAAAAAATTGGTTTCCTTAAGAACTCCGTCACTCGTCGCGAAATTCCGACATTCAATCCGAATTCAACGGATTGGGAAAGGACATCGTCGTTGCAAATCTAACAGCCTGCGGATCCCAGAATGCCTATATAAATGATCAAATGGGATGCGATCAGGTCATTCATAAATCATACTCAGCACTTTTTCCATTCAACGAGAAGACTGATTGAAGTCATCAAATTAATCAACAAATAAACAACAATGGCGGGTGGGAAACAAGTGATGCTTCTTGCAATTGATGATAGTGAGCATAGCTTTTATGCTCTTAAGTGGACCCTTGAGCATTTCTTTACTCCTACATCGAATGCCCTGTTCAAGCTCGTTATTGTCCATGCCAAATATCCTCCTACGTCTGTCATTGGACTTGCAGGACCTGGTAAATGAATATTACCTCTTTTCTTTTCATAAAATTTCAGAGATAAAAGGAAGCTTGTCAATTGTGTAACCCTTTCATCTGACAGATTTTCATTTTCATGCATACAATCGAATAAACTTTTAGGCATTAAGGCATGCTCTTGTTTGCATTAACAAGATTTTGTTTGCTTGTAGGATCCACGGACGTGCTACCACTTGTGGAAGCCGACCTGAAGAGGACAGCTGAAAGGCTTATCGAGCAAGCTAAGGAGCTCTGCAAGGAAAAAGGAGTGAGGAAGCTGAAAATTTTGAGCATCATTTTTGTATAGTGCAAAGTTTCTGTAGTTTGATAAGAGCCTGATGCATGATTACGATAAGCCAATCATAATTTTCTATGCAGGTGGAAGATGCAGAATTTGAAGTGATCGAAGGGGATGCCAGGATGGTCATGTGTGATGCCGTTGACAAACATCATGCATCTCTCTTGGTTCTCGGTAGCCATGGATATGGGGCTTTGAAAAGGTGAACCTATTTTCAAGTCTTTAAAAGATGGTACCAATGAATCCCTGAACTCAACCTTGTTAATTCTGCAGGGTTGTTCTGGGCAGCGTCAGCGATCACTGCTCCCACCATGCTCACTGCTCTGTGATGATCGTGAAGCAGCCTAAAGTACACCACTAAAGCCCAGGCCCTCCTTTTCGATCAATCAGATGGCAAAGAGGTTTCAGTTTTCCAGATCAAGTTTTTGACTGACTCCCTAAATGACCATCAAAGAATACAAGGATACAGTAATCTTCTATTCGCTGATCTTCTTCAATGCTGCAAGTTTAGTGTTTAAGCAATTGGTCAATCCAGTCATCAGTAGTGAGCTCATGCCAGAATAAGAGTATTTCCTTCTTTTTTTTATTTTTATTTTTTGTTGGAAGAAGCATTTGTTTTCTTCTTTTAATAGCTGACAGGGTTAATTATATATGATATTGTAAAACTAAAAACCTACTATGGGATTAACCCATTGGTCTTTAACTTTGATTTGATTCATCCTTCAGACTGGGATTAAGATTTTATGACTAATAGTCTCAGGATGTTTTAACCCTTTTGGTAGCCAGTGATCAGGTGTTTGATCTTACAAGTATGCAGACACATTATAGTCCTATGCGACACACTCGATCACTGTTCCAAGATATACAGTTTTTTTTTCTTCCTTCTTACACTTACCATAATTTCTGAGAATTTGAATAAAGCTTAATCCATAAACATGAAAATTAACTAAAATGAGGCAGAAAGAGCTTTACAGAGACACGCTAATTGTAATGGATAGCCTTCCATCTTTCCTACGAGGTTAAACTCACCACCCAAGGAAGAAGCCTAAAGTACACCACCCAAGGAAGAAGCCTAACATACACCACCAGGGACCCTCCCTCTCGAGACTTGATCAATCATATGACAAAGCGGTTTCGAGTTTTCCGGGTCACGCTTTTGGCTGCCTGCCCAGATGACCATCAGCGCATCACTTAACATAGGATGCAGCAGTCTCATTTGCTGTTCTTCATCGACATAGTAGCGAGCTCAAGCCCTCATACAAGTACCTTGCTTTTTCTTCGTAAAATTACCTGCCCATCCTAGGATTAACCCAATGGTCTTGTGACTTGTATTCAATGCATCCCATAGACTGGATCTCAGATTTTGGGACTAATAGTCACAGTGCTGCATTATACCGGTTATCAGGTGTTTGATCTTTACAATGTGTAGCCGACATATTTGCCAAATAAAAATAGATGTATATCTACAAGTATGCAGATACACTCGACCGATGCTCGAGATATATAATCTTTGAGATTTTTCTGAACTTACCATAAATCCTGAGCAATCAACTCAATCCCTGAGTAATATTATAATTTCTAAACACGCCAATTAGCTAAAAGGGAGGCAGAAAAAGCTTTACAAAGACACGCTAATGGGCGCGGGTAACATTACCAAGAATAATTAGAGAATTTTGTAAATTATAAGATACCTCTGATCCAGGAAAAACAATCATTAATAGTCAAGGAAACTCGATAAGTTGCAAAGTACACAGATCAAAAATGCAATAACAACTACTAAAACTACAGCAAGCACCAGTCCCTCTCAAAGCCCAAAGACAACATTATTTTTATCTAGCACTTGACCTCCTTCAGGCCAACGCCAAAATACAAGAAAGTCGGATCGGTGGCACCATCCTTGTAGTAAGCAAACACCAAGGTACTGTCATCGGCCATGCTCTCCCCCACAAAACTGTCAACATGAGTGAACCTTGACCATTTAGTATAAAAACTCTAATTTGCAGTGTGCTCAAACAATCAAATACTTCCAAAGAATTACAGGCAGAAAAATAAGAAAAAGAAAGGAAAGTGAACGAGGGGGCATTAAAGGAGGTTGCACTCACAATTGGAGGTCACTGAGCTTTGAGAGCAAGTACTTGGTTGCGCCCTCAATATTCTTCTTAAAATGCTCTTGCTTCTCTGCATCTATCTTTGGCGTCAACAACTTGATATACTTCTTTATGTATGCAACAAATTGCTTCTTGTCAAAAGGAGGTTGCTCCTGCAAGGTAATAAATTAGCTTCATATTCCCTAAATGCAATAGTCAACCTCATCCAAATAGTAAAATCAGACAAAAACCTGGAGCCTAAATGTGTCAACTATGTCCACCACCTTCACAGCCTGGTCATCAACACCCTCGTCCTCTCCACAACCTTCAGCAGAAGGGTTTGCACCAATGTCTACTTCAACAGCTCCTTGGACAACCCACTGGAATTTACAAATTTGCAGTAAATCAGACTTTACAAAACTCTTAATCATTTATACTCTTATGTAAGGTAAAAAGATGCTGGAATAAGAAACTCATTGGTTGCCAACATACCAACAATAGACAAGTCATAATGCTTGCACAAGTAATGATCATCATAATAGAAATTCAGATCTTTTCCAAAATTAAGCAAGTTAAACAGAAAAGAGAACAATTTTCACCTTTCCCTCAACTTCCCAGAGGATCCCGTTCTCAATTTCCTTGTATGGAAATGAGTCCGAGAGAAGCTCATCACCTACACAATCATAGAAGTGAATCAAGAAGAGAGTTAAACACAAGATTCACCAAAACAAATCAAAACATACTCTTAAAAGCCGGTGTAAGAGAAAGTAGCAGGGGACATTAATCAGCAATAGCTAATAGTACAAAATCGGATTAATTAAAATGAGCACAATCCTTCTTTTAAATCTCTTTTTATATCCAAGAGAAAGTTTAGTCCCACTCTATCAATTCAATAACAAAAGAAATTTCACACAGACTTCCGATCCAAGTTACAAAGCAGAATCAGCCTTTCTCCAACCCATTCCAAAATGTTCATAGGCAGAAAGACCAACTGGTGTTTTGGGAGGGGGATGTCAAAAACCGGGTAGATATCCACTCTCAATAGTAACAACACGTGTATATCCACCTAAAAACTGCGACAACCAAACAATTCCGCTGACCTTTTGCACCAAAAGATAAGTTCTGTAATCAACCAATTCCCGAGCGCATGCGAAAAAGACTTAATCTTTAACACGGAAATTTAAAAAAGACTTAATTTTTAATAGGAATCAAATCACAAACAATCAGTAAGAGCAAAAACAAAGAAAAATTAAACCATTGGTAACAATTCAGAATCCAATTAACCATCAAACCCCTCAAAAACTAAAGGCCACCTCAGAGCAAACTACAGATTCAATCTAACACAGATCTAGAAATTAACCTTGCAAAAACCCTATCGAAAACCCGTTATACATAACTAAAAATCAAGCCCAGAAAGCAAAAGCAACTCAATCAGATCACACATCTATAGAACTACAAATTCATTCGTAAAACCAGAAAAACAAAAGTCAAAATTGTGTGTACCGGTGAGTAAATCCTGATAGACCAACATGATGATGATGAGGACAAGCCTAGCTCTCGTATCGCTCCAGACAAAAGGGTACTGCTACAAGGGAGAGAGATTGAGCGAGAGAGGGACCTCTGAAGCTTGGGCAGCCACAATATATAGGGCGAGGGTTCTGGGGGAAGAAGAAGAACATCAATTTACGAAAATAGGATAATCTTTTCGTTTATTGACAATTTCATCCTTCTCTGTCTCAGATGAATCGGGAGTTCCAGATTTGGATTAATTCGCGGGCTCAATGACAGGACGGACTTTTTAATTTTGGGTTGGGCTCTATACTCTGTAGCAATGGAATTGTCCTGGGTAAGAAACTTGGGCCTATCAAAATTGAGGTCTGCTCTTTTGAGCAGAAAAGTTCAGCCTAACTTTTGCAGTCTGTACTAAAATCTATCACCGATGAAATTGTTCTGTCAGAAAATTTTAATTTCTGGCTACTATTCCTAAGTAAAACAATGTATAAATAAATGGCAAAAAAGTACTAATTGAAAAGGATTAAAGCACAATTAGTGCACAAAGAAATCTAGACATCTGCATGGCATGGCATGGCATCTAATGCTCTGCTCGGACCAAGTGATTCATTGAGTTGAGTGAAAGGTCTAATTCCCTTGTCATTGTAATTTGAAGTGAGTTATTAATTCTCTACTCAAGGCATATAGTTTCCTTTGAATCTATTTATTACTAAAAGAAATTGTTTTCAAATATGGATCCTCTTTGTTCTAGTGGATGTAATTAAAGTTTATGCCTCATGAGTTTTTGCCCAAGAGTGTTGATTCAAAATTTTTTTTTTTTTGGTATTTCGAACGTTCAATTGAAATAATCATATTTGTAAAACATTTTTGTTTCAAAAAATTTTTTAGATCATCTAACTGATCCCTAAATAGTCACTTGCAGATTTGAGCAAACTTATTCGCTATATATTTTATTCAACAAGTTAGAATAACTATTAAAGTATGAAGACCAAACTATGGATTAGGATGCATTGAAAACTGATGGTTCATGAACTACAAAGCTTTTAATTGGATGGAGTTGGACATATAACCTTCTGATAGTATTTAACAGCTAGAAAACTAGCAAATTAATAAGCTTTAGATACAGGTGAATTTGCGATATAGTGTTGCATTGGAGCTGATATTGCAGTCCATGGTTTAGAAAATTATTTTAAGAATTCGAAAAATATATGTACATATTTTTATAATAGAAAGAATGACGAAAGAATTCAAATAAAATGATGAAGAAAATCTATTAGCTGAGTTATGTTGCATTTTTAGTTATATTAATATCTATAGGCCATAAAAAGCAAACTTCTTTTAACTTCCATAAAACATAAATAAAACCAAATAAGATCAATACCTTACCATTGACTTTACAAAATCTAAAAAAAAAAATGCTCATATGTTTGTCATATCTTTCATTACATAGATAGGGTTTCAATTGTTTCTTTCACTGCAGTTACTAATTAGAAATTTATTATATTGTATACATTTTTAGAAAATAAAAGTGGATAATAAGTGTTCAGTTAGTGAAAACAATACTCATTTTAGGTTTTATTAATTTTCTCCTAGGTATTCCCCATGCAATACATACAATTATTAGGATGCAAGATCGATTATCATTAAAGTTTTTGCTTAATCATCACTTTTACAAAGTATAGATTAGAATCGCAAAAATACCAAATATTACTTATTTTTGAGCGAGTGTAACCTTGTTAGGGTTAGTTGTCGTCGATGACTTATACGTTATTGAGTTTAATCCTTAATTAAATGGTTACAAGATTATATTTCTCGCTGTACATGTAATATAGAAAATAGGGTTTAGACTATTAATTAAAGATATAATAATTTGATGTTACTTTATAACTCATCATTATGAGTGCAAAGTCTCCAGAAATATCCCTAGTCACGAGCAAATTAAATCCTAACCTTAATGAAAAATTTTGGTTTCACAGTTACATGTGCGTACATATACCCTTGACTAAATGCTTCAGCAGTGTAGTAAAATAACTAAAGTTGACGTTTTATAAAAGAAAATTGTATGCTTTGATATACTCATAATTCATTTGTTGCAGCACGCCATTATGTTGTTATGCTTAAAAGTTGTTTGACATGCATAAATGCTCAGATATGTTTTCATAAATTGTTTTGGTCCACAAGTTTAATAGTGATTTATTTTCTGTGTCAGCAAAATCAAATCTAGAGCAAGGTTGCACCCAAAAAGACAGGTAATTAAGATTTCAGTGACAGCTTGGATATACTTGAATAATGCCGAACAAAGTACATCAATAACTAAAACGAGTAGAGGGGTGCATCAGTTCTTTAAGAAAATTCATATTTCTCTTGTATCTTTTGGGTAATGTTACATTCGCCCCTTGAGTTTTACTAATGAAAAAAAGGCCTTCTATACTATATGTTCCTTTGTAAGCTCAACATACATGGCATTAGGGAGAGAGGCAGAATGGGTGATGAGTTTTTGTCTCAAATGTTAGAGTTGATGTTTTGGTGGTCAACTGCTACATGTAAAAGTTTAGAGGGCCAATGTTACTCTAGTTCAAAAGTACATTGTAATTTGATTTTGCCTTTTGGAAATATGGTAACCATTATTATTTACTTTCCATATTAACAGAATCATTTATGACAAGGAGCCATTCTACACCGAAGCCCAGGTGGATACACTTGACAAGGAATAAAATAGTTCATGAACCTGCTAATCTCTATATATACAAGCAAATATTATTGGGTCTAATATCTGTTAAGATACACTGTGTAGAGTGGGAGCAACAAGTGCCTGTGAGATTAAGAGTTATGGCTTCCAGAAGTCAAGTTTCTTCTGCTGCACAGGAAACTCCATTCATCGGAGAGTGTTCAATTTGCTTGGGGGACGTGGTCGACAACAACTCCCGAGCCATTGCTAAGCTGAAATGTGGCCACTCATTTCATTTGTGTAGGTTTTAAGTGGATTTCCTAATTAATGTTGCTCTTTTCATTTGCTTGATTATTGATTATCTCCATACGTACGTGATTGCCTGAGATTGAATTGTCCAAAGTCTTGGTCTTATAAGTTTTTTCACCCTACAAGTTACGTATAGCTATCTCGCTCTTTCTCTCTATCTTTTCTTTTTGTTTGTCCTTTGATTTATATTCAGTGTTCGTACCTGTCTCTCTTAGAAGGATTCTTTGATCTCGGATGCTTCCTTTCTCTTTGGTGTTTTTCTGTCTGATTTGAGTTTATGACCTTTTTTAAAATTTTTTTTTTTTTGTTTAATGGGTTATCCTTGTTCTATCTAGCGGGGGGAAAAGACAATACAACGTCAAATGGCATAGATCACCTCTCAAGAAATTCTGTCTACCTAAATGAATCTGAATTTACATGAAAGCAAGATAAGGGGAGACGATTTTGCACCATTATACTTGGTTATAAATCTTTTATTCCATTTTCTTCTCTGATTTGTGGGTGCAATTTTTACAGTTCTTTAATTACTTATAACAAAAACTAATGAAGTCCATCAATTAAAAGAACTTGGGGGTAGATACTCTCTTATATTCAATCCCAAGGGTATATCGGTTTATATTTTTACTTTATAACATCTTAAAGATAAAAAGGGTTTTGACGATTTTTCTATACCGGGGCATATAGTATGAATACTTATTGCCTGATTGACTATATTATCTTTTCCCCGGATAGAGAATTTCATATGCTTAGCCACATTCCTCGGATAATATTCGTGCCATTTTTTCATCTAATGAATTAATTTTTGTTGTGGAAAAAAAATACTTCAATTGGTTATTTCCGATTTTTCGAAGAACTTGTGGGCAAGATTAAGCATACCGGCCAGTGTATAGTTAAAACCAAAAAAAAAAAAAAAAAAAACTTCAATGGTAAATGGTATAATTTACCTTACAAGTGGATCGAAATTTTTGGTTTACATATATAAATCTGAATTCACATCAAAGCAAGAAGAGGGGAAGACAACTTTGCCCCGTCTTACATACATCTAAATCAGTAATTCCTCATGTAGCTTTTACAATTATTTACTGGCATTACAAAATCCAGTTTAGTGTATAGAATAATTCTTGGATAGGTCATAGGTACTTTCACTTAGAATTAAGCTCAAAGGTAGGTTTTGTTATGTTATCATACATAGGAGTTCGAAACTTGTACTGCTTTCTTTTCTTGTCTGCATCATATTTAAAAGAGGGTTTTGGTGATTCTTCTGTTGGGGAATAAAAAGAGTCCTTTTATGATTTGTTGAAGATCAGACCGTATTATCTTTTTCCCCATCCAGAATTTCATGTCCACAAACAATTGTGACTTTTCTACTAGAACTAGCAGGTGTCAGCTACCCAAATAAGTAAAGGAATAATAAGTACGTACAATTGATTCAATGGGCAAATTGGCGAGTCCACACTGTTGTAAATATTTTATTTTGCTTGATCTCTAAAAAAATATTTTATGTATCAACTTTTGTTCTTTACAAAGTCATAAGAATATTTCGGCTTAAACTGGTGGTGAACTGGTGATATATAAGCCGTTTAAGTTTGAGAATCCATGAATACCTCTCAGAAGAGAGTGAGCAAACAAAAAATGTCCTGTGTACATGTCTAGTTTTTCCTGATCTCATGTTAGTGGCATCATAACTTTTACCATAATCTCTTCCTCCTTTTATTATTATTTTTTTTGTTAATTCTACTTCTTTTTTCTACCTGCAAGTGATTTAAACTTGTTGTTTTAACTTAACAATTTTTTGTTTGTCTCTTGCAGCATGCATTGGATGCGAGTTTAACGCCAGGGGTGCAATGCAGTGCCCCAACTGCAGGTCGATGGAAACCAGCGATTGGTTGTACTGCATGGAAGCTCCTGGGCTTGATACCATTGATGAAGATCCTATGCTTGATGTCATTGCTGAAGAGAGTGATGAGGAGACCAGCAATGCAGATGCGGTAATACCACTTCTATGTCTTTAAATCTTTTTTTCAGTTCATGTTGTACTAAGGTGAAGAGTACAATTAACGTCAAATAATTTGCTATCCGCTAGATTAGGCTTGTGACTTGTAAGAACAGGCAGTACAGACGAAGGCCAGGAGAATGCAAGGGAAAATTTTTTGAAACCCAAGACAGATAGGAAGCAAAAACTAGATAGGTTTAGCCCTATATGGACTATTGCTTGTGCTTTGTCCTACAAACTAGAATGGTTTAATGATAATGGTAGCTGTTGCAAATCCAGTGAAGATGACTGGCAGTGCCGTTATCGGCAATTAACACAGAAGATATAGCCATAATTTAAGAGCAATTTTACTGTGACATCCGTTTATATATGCTAACAATAGAACTATATATAATAATTCTTGCTATGTTAATTCAGAGTAAATTTATACAGATAATTAAAGCCAGGCAAATTTACTCTAGTAATTCAGTTGCATGGCCATGCTGCTTTAGTAGACATGTAGAGGTTCTGTACCCCTTAGTACAAAGAAAGAATGTGAGCAACTTTGCTGTTCAGATTTCCAGCTTAGATACTTAAAAAAAAATGCCAATCACTAGACGATAATAATCATACATCTTATGCATTATACTTCAGCGATTGCTAACTGTAGTGCTTGAATTCTCCATGACCAGGAGCAGGAGCAGGAGCAGGAGCACCAGAACCAAAGCTTTTTTCAGTGTCTACATGGGCATCCTCACTGCCCAGGGCCCGACGAAAATGATGATGCATGGCCTTTACGAGTTTACAGGTGAACACTTTACTGAAGAGCTTCCTGCCTTTAAGATTTTGATCCTTTCCTTTTCCTTTTCTATCAAAAATTAAGCATTTGACGTTGAAATCTTCGTTTACATACCTTCTTCATTTTTCTCAGAGATGTTAAGATACAGTTACTTGTTGAAGTTAGATATAGTTTGTGAAGAGTTTTGTTGTGGGGGGGGGGGGGGTGAGTGCTTTTCAAGCTTATTACTTCTAAGTTAACATTTTTTATTCTTCAAAATATATTTCAAATTTTAGGCCTGTATGCATCTGAACTATTTCAATGCCAAATTGAACTTAAGCGTCTCCACTAAATTGACATATAATTTCAAGGAGGGCCAGCAAATAAATTGACATATAATTAACCCGGAATTTTATTCCCATGATAGAGAGAGACATGAAATTCGCTTAGCATATACTATATTGAACTATTGATATCATTCTTCTACATTTGGCAGGCCAACAGGGGCACTCCAAGTTGGAGGTAAGTTCTTCTTTCGGCAAAAACAAAAGGTTTATTTTCATTTTATTAATCCTTAAAAAAAAAAAAACAAGATGTTTGTTCGAACATGTCATGAACATGCAGGCAATAGCAGCAACGTTGGTTTCCCCGACGTCGGTGTCCCCCAGCATAACTATTTCCCCTTGACACTAGCACGGCTGGCACCACCCTCCACCCCTCTCCATGCAAGCAATATTAATGATGCTGCAATTGGCCTTGCCAACAATGTCGTCAACTATAGGCCCCCTGCTGCTCTTGTCCCCATTGGGTAAGTTCTACTCTTTTTTTTTTTAGTAGCAAGTTAAATATTCTGCCAGCTTGTTACATGATTAACTAAATGCATGTCCGAGATCGATATCCAAATGAGTCAAAACCTTTTTCTTGTTATCGCATGATCCGTCATTCAAATCCATGTTTTTTTTAATGAATTCCACGTATTTAATACCTACTGTTGAGTGTTAACCGATACTGCTACTAAATGTTCGTACATCAATATATGCATGTCTGTAATTACAACTAGTATTTTGATATAATTAAGCATATAATTATGAAGAAAATTTATTATATATCCTTCTGTTGGCAGACCTCATTTTCATCCAAGTCTGGCGACGTACCCCATTTTGCACGGGGGCAATCCGCCATCTCCATTGATGGAGGTTGTGTTAGCCAGTAGAGGAGGACCATATTGGGTTCCTCGCCATGAGCTGAACCTAGCTGGACCAGAGCCATCGGTGTTCAGTCAGGGCAGAGGCTGCACTACTGCTGCTGATCATCATGTGGAGCTTTACATGGAGCAGCCGCCGCCTCTTTTTCCATCTACCGGCGACTATGGCGGTAATCCCAGTGAGGCTGCGAATCCAGAAGATGCAGATGCTCCAAGAATGATACACTTCCTGTGAAGCTTATCATGCAGAAACCATTAATAACCCTGGATATCGGGCAACCAAACCTAGTTTGGTCTAAGGGAATTTTCCAGAAGACTTTGTTTTCTTAATCCAGTCATGTTTCGACTGCTTTGTTTTATGTTTGTGTTGTTGCGAGACATTCCTTGACTTCCTTTAAGTATTATGCATGCGTGTAATAAATGGTTTTCCCTGTCTATACCAGCTGGTGGTGAGCTGTATCAAGGAAAGAATACAATCCAATATTTTCTATAATATGTTTATTGGACTTTTTGCGTTCCTTAATCTGTCTGTAGACCGTACACATATTGCATCATTTCTGAGTCTTGCAGGGATACACTTCGATTTTTAGGTGCGGCCGAGTAAGGCATACATCTCATCTCATAGGGGCGATATGGCAAGTAGATATAGTCAGTTGATAGCAAAAGTCAGTCGTGTAGCTTTATTTGCATTACAGTTTTGGATTTCAATGTCACTTAATTTTATCGGCATATACAGTTTTATTTTCAAGGTTGGATCATGATACTTGTAAAAAGAAGCCAAAAGATGGCTACAGCATACAAGTATTAGCCAACATCATTGTCATGTAGCCTAATATTATAGGGATGTTGGACATTTCTGTGTGTAAGTTCGTCAAAGACTCAAAATTATATGCTTGGGTAGGAAGAGAACGTTAATGACTCGATTGTTCAAGATAAGTGAAAAGTTCCAAGCCAGATAGATATCATACCCAGTTAAGCACGCTTTAGTCAAAAACTAGAGAGGAATATCGTATCATTACTAGCTAGAAGGTTTATATCCCAGTCAGCCGTTTACAACCAAAATATCTGCTTCCATTTTGAAAATATGCAAACCACAATAAGGGGGTTTATTAATTTATATACCCTCAAAGTGGAAGCACTTACAAAATAAAATAAATTGGAAGGATGTTTGGCCAAACATCTAGCAGCTTTGCTGTCTCTGTTATGGCAGATAATTTGCTAGTGAATAGGATTCAGCTGGAGCATTTTCTTGCAGTCCAGCGTCAGTATCCTCATCAGGCTTGCCTCCAGTAGAGACACTGGTTGAACCTGGTTAATTCTTTCGTCAAATCAAAGGCTTGGAGTCAAAATAATGAAGACTCTATGAGAATAAGCACGATTTAGGAAAAGGAAAGAGAGTGAGATATTTATGAGATGTTTTTCTCATTCACTTACAGATGTTAATCATATTATTAGCAGTATATATAGTGCTAAGGACGAATCCCAGGCTTTGTAATGAGGTGAGTAATTGCATTTAATGAGGAGGTGTATACCTACCAGACGTACCAACCTTTTTTCTTTTGCCCTTGCGTGTGTGTGTGTGTGTGTGTGTTTGGGTTGAGAAACACAAAAAGTGCTCAATATAGAAAATGTAGCATGGAGAGGAGAAGTTGCAGATTGTTGGTTCTAAACTCACATTCCATGTAATAAGCTGTATGTTGTTGCTTATAAACTCTAGATTTGCGTAATCTTATGGTTCATGTTGTGATCCACATTCTGCAACCAAAAGAAAATATAGTTAACCAAAAGAAAATATAGCTAAATAGTTTTCATTATTGCTCGATATTTTTCGAATCCTTCTGAAAATTTCCGGAGTTGAAAGGATCAATTCTCAACGGTGGTGCTATTTGTTTAGCTGTGAAATCAGGCCATGGACATTGCAACTCTCTAATTGACCTAAACTAGGAATATATGTAAATCTTGCATGCCATGAAATGCTATTTGTTTTACATAACCAGTGTTTATTTCCTAAATCATTCTTCAAAGGAACTTTACAAAAGTGGAGTATAATATTTTAGATTATCTTCTATATACTGAGAGTCCATATACTTTTATCAATGAATGTCCGATACATAATTCGAATATAAATTTGAAATTCAAATTTTACAGATATATCATATAACTAATTATGATAGTGTATGTATTGTCTGTATAAATTACTCTAGTATTTTTGCATATAAAATTTTGTCATCAAAATAATTTTCAGGTATAAATTATTTTTCCCCGGGAAAGCTAGATCCAATTCCAAGTAGAACTTTTAAGCCCATGCAGCAAGTAGCGTAGTAACGTAAAAAGAGACTCTAGTATATCCCTTGTTCCTCCCGCTCCTGAGAATGAAACCGTGCTGGTAACTAAGCGCTTTCTAGAGTACATTCGAGACCCAAAAAGGCAGCTCAGAAGCTTGAAACCGTGCCTCTAAGTAAGCGCTGTCTAGAGTACTTTAGACGCTACGAAAAGGCGTTGTTAATGTTGTATGGAGCAGTATTTATCCCAATGTTAGAGCGGGAAAGCCAAAAAATTTGAAGCCCTCAGCCTAGAAATGAAGATGAAAGTTGCAATCTTGAAGAACGACCGAGCCATGGACCTCAGTAATAGATAGAGCAGCAGAACCCTTCAATCTCCAGAGCCCAAAGTCGATCAATTCAACCATGGATGAAGAATCCATCAACAGAATTCTTGCAGAACTGGAAGCCCAAAATCCCCTTTCAGCAATTTCTCTCAAGGACCTTCAAACCCTTCTGGATTACACACTCAGAACCAATGATTCAACAGATCTTGAATCTTTTTATGCTGAAATTTCTTCAAGAAACCTCTCTTTAACTTCATTAACCAGTTCCATTTCCTCCCTCATGGATTCTACCGGACCCACAAGAAGTACTCTTTCCCTTTTAGCCTCAAATGTTTACCTTTCTTTGCTTTTATCCCCTAATTCTCCTGTTTTAACTCTGTTCACTCCCATGGCTTTTGTGTCACTGTTGCGGTCGATTCGTTGGGCTTTCAAGAACCCATCTCTGGTTTCTAATGACGGTCCTGGGGGTGACAATCGGGGTAGAAAAAAGCGCGGTGGAGGGAGGCTAGGGGTGGGGAAAAATAAGGGAAAACAGGTGGAAGAGAGTGAAAATGACGGTGAAGAGGGAGTTATTGAGGCGAGGGTGTTTTTTAGTGTTCTGGAGAGGTTGGAATCAGTGTTGGGCTTGGTTCATTTGGATAGGTTTCCGGATAGTTTGAGGAGTTTGGTTCAGACAGTGGCTGAGATTCCTGTTGTGGCAGTTGAGGTTTGTAGGAGTTCAGGGAGTTATGAAAAGTTATGCGAGCTGAGTTCTCAGATTTTGAGTGAAGTGCTTAAAGCTGAGCATGGGGATCAGACAGTTTCTGCAGCTGAAGTTTTGAAGTGTTTGACACCTTTGATGTTTCTTCCTAAATCACAGGCTAAAGGTTTTGGATTGCAGTTTGTGGTGAATAGAATGATGAGATTGGCTAACCATTCGAGTCAGATTAAGAAAGCAGTTGTCAATTTGCCCAAGTACTTGGTGCATAAGGCCCCGGAAAAGGCTGAGCCAAGGGCTTTGGCTGTGGAATCTATTATGGAGATTGTTAAAGTTTTGGCGTTTGAGGATCAAGTTGAATTTACACATTATGTAGTCAAGATGAGCCAAGGAAAAGGTCAATTTAGGCTTCTGTCCGTTGACCTAATTCTTATGTTGATGACGACATTGAGAGACCCCTTGGGATTGGATTCAGGTGATAAAGTTGAGAACTTGTGGGGTTTGACTTGTTTGGAGGCATTAATTGAGCGTTGCTCAGATGTTACTGCTGGGATTAAAGCGAGGGCCTTAACCAATTTAGCTCAAGTTGTAGGATTTTTCTCTGGGAATAATAGGAGCAGGGCATTGTTGAAGGAAGTGATGGGGTTTGGGAATGAGGGCTTGAGTAGCACGAAATGTAGGATGAATGATCTCTTGCTGAAACGGTGTATGGATGAGAAGGCTGCAGTCAGGAAGGCGGCTCTTTTTCTGATCTCCAAGTTAACAGTACTTTTAAGAGGTGCTCTTGATGGAGAATTGCTGAAGATCGTGGGCATGGCTTGTTCTGACCCCCTTGTTAGTATACGGAAAGCAGCAATATCAGCTCTTTCAGAGGTTCATTAGCTTACCCTGAAAATATATTTTATTGATCTTTATTTTATTTGTTTTGCTTATCTAAAGTTGTTGTCTAGGAAGAATCCAATTGCATACTTTGCTCTGTAACCTAGATTTGCAAATACAATTTGTCAGATTAACATGCCTGAAATGCCTTTTCAGTTATCCATATTCACGTGCATGATTTTGCAGTTCCTAAAGCACCTTTTTGTGATTTATTCTTTAGATTTCCCTTCCAATGAGATATGATAAAAGATAAAGCCCCAGGGTAAAGCATTTTGCAACCATTGGTACTGCATGCCTCGCACAAAGCAAACTATTCTGCCACTCTTTTCTCCCAAGTTGTTATTGGCTGTATTAATCCTTTTCTTCCTTGGATGCTATAATAGTTTCAGATGCATTTTCTTTACTGCACATTGAATTAGCTGGATTTGTAATTCCTCAATCATATCTTGACATGTGTATTGCTGTGTAGGCCTTTAGATTATTCTGTGATACAAACGTAACTAAAGAGTGGCTACATTCTGTTCCACCTTTAATAGCTGACAATGAATCTAGCATCCAAGAAGAATGTGAGAGCCTGTTTTCAGAACTTGTTCTTGATCGAGTATCTAAGGTTCCATCAGATACCACATCCCATCATCATTCTTTCACGGATAAGTCAAATGGAAAGTCAAGGATTTTGGATAGAGAAATTGAGTTGTTATGTCCTGAGGGAGTTTTGTGTATACTAAAAGAGACTTGTGATGCAGAGGTGACTTCTTGGGTGAAGAAGATCTGTACAAGCTTAGGAAAGAAAAAAAGGCTCAAACCCAAGATTGCTACAGCCCTCCAGAATATCATAAGGGCATCTGAATCCCTGTGGTTGAGTCATTCTATGCCAATCGAGAAGTGGACAGCACCTCCAGGTGCCTGGCTTCTGTTATCAGAGGTGTCAGCATTCCTTCCAAAGGAGGTGGAGTGGGAATTCCTCCATCATCATTGGCAGCTCGTGGACAAGTATGAACCTGCTGGTGAGCTTAGGAGCCCACACGAAAAAAGAGATGGCAATGAGGAAATGGACATAGAACCTAATTCGGTTGCTTGGGCAGGGGACCGTGTCTTCCTCTTGCAAACAATCTCTAATGTTTCTGTGAAGCTGCCTCCTGAACCTGCTGCTGATCTAGCTCATAACTTTCTCAAGCGACTTGAGGAGTTCAACATGCATTCAACTGAGGTATCTATCAAACACTACTGTATTTTGTTCTATGAATTCCATCAGTATTGTCTTCTATTCTTTAAAATGCATTTCCTGTCCTAAATTTTTCTGTTGAATGGCCTCAAGAGTTGTAAAAGACATGAGATTTTACTTGGTTAATTAAACGGCACATCCAAAGAAGACTTTTGATATTTATCGATAATCTTCTTGATAGTTTCACTACAATAAAGCATGAGCATTTTCAGTCAATTAGGTTTCATTCACTGTCAAAAAGAGTATGTATGGAAGGCCAGAAAGCTGCATAAATGTGGTTCATATGCTTATTTTTATCCCTTACCTGCCTTGGCTTGGAAAACAATGAGTTGCATGTTCTTTATTCTCCGGTTGCTGTATGACATCTTTGGCACATGTCTAAGCAGCTTTCAAACTTTGACAGGTTAATGCTCATGTAAAGGCACTCAGAACTCTTTGCAAGCGTAAGGCCTTAAACCCAGAGGAGGCAGATTCCCTTGTCATAAAATGGGTGCATCAACTTCTTTCTAAAGCCTCCCATGTACTAGACATGTATATCTCACAGGATTCTAATAAAAACAAAAACACCTTTCTTACACCACATAGTGGTGGCACTAGGCATGGAAAAGCAGTAACAGCATCCATGAGTAAATTATTGTTACAGGCAATTACTGCAGTTTATACGATTGGTTCTTTAGTAATCATTTGTCCTTCAGCTGATTTAAAGGCAATAGTTGCAGTTTTACATACCATTATCACCTCTGGAAATTCTGATACAAAATCTAAGATATCAGTGGGGCCTGCATTTTCTGTAAAGGAGGTAGCACCTTCTTTGTACATTCAAGCATGGCTAACAATGGGCAAGATCTGTCTTGCTGATGGAAAACTGGCTAAGAGCTATATTCCTCTTTTTGTGCAGGTATGGTTTTCTCGTGGATTTAATCCTTTTACTGTTTCCTTAGAAGCCTTAAATCCTCAATGCAAAGAGAAACTAAGTGAATAGAAGTTTCTTCTAGATTTAAAGACAATGCTGTGACTGAATGGATGTGTCATAAACCCATTAGGTGACGATAGCTTTTTTATCTTCACTAATTTGGGAACATCACACTTTGTTCACATCGAGTACAGCTTTTCAAAGATTCCAAAAGTAAAAGTGAGAGGATATGACTTTGCTCTTATTCCTTTGTTTGCAGTCCTGATCATTATTCCGAAAGAGTTTTAACAGGACTAGCTTACTTCTACCTTCTTGTGATTTTCTACATTAACAATTCTTTGACTAGTACTGGTATATTCTCTGCAACCACCTTACTCTTAATGCTTATTATGGCTTAGGAGCTTGAAAAGAGTGATTGTGCAGCTCTTCGCAATAATATAGTTGTGATGATGGCAGATTTCTGTGTACGACATACTGCATTGGTTGACTGGTGAGGTTTAGTACTTATATCCAAGTCCATTTCCACATGAATAAGAACTGATTTTCTGAAAATTTAATCAATGTGCTCCATATGATTTTCACACCAACAGTTACATGACAACAATTACCAAGTGTCTACGTGACCCATGTGAACTAGTTAGAAGGCAAACGTTTGTCCTGCTTGCCAGGCTATTACAGGTGATCTTTCGTTTCTCAAGATCAACTGGGAACATATACTGCATTCCGGCCATTATGCTTCTCTTCCTTTTTCCCTTTTTCTCACCTTTTGGATTTTGTTGTTTGACTTCTTATCATGTTCAGAGGGATTATGTGAAGTGGCGAGGAGTGCTTTTCCTTCGGTTTCTGTTATCCCTTGTTGATGAATCAGATAAAATAAGGCAATTAGCTGGTTTCCTCTTCGGAAACATTTTGAAAGGTTAGACCGGCTTTATAATTTGTTGATGCTTACTGCAACATATCATCAATGGAGTCTGACTTTCATTTCTTGTGTTTCTGCAGTTAAGGCACCACTTCTAGCTTACAATAGCTTTGTAGAAGCCATTTTTGTTCTTAATGACTGCAATGCCCACACCGGACGAAGTAATCCCCAGAACTCAAAAAGTGAAAACCAGGTGTTTTGTATACGGTAAGGATGCTTTAATCCTTTGAGACTTGGAGAGTAAATCTGTAAACATTAAATAACCAGGGAATCTCTATTTTCAAGAGGTAATGACGACCAATCAAGGTCTAAAAGGATGTATGTTTATGTCACTTTGCTAAAGCAAATGGCTCCAGAACACCTTCTAGCCACCTTTGCAAAGGTTTGTGCAGAAATTCTTGCTGCTGCATCTGATGGTATGCTGAATCTTGAGGATATTACTGGACAGTCAGTTTTGCAGGTAATGATTTCTCTAAACTGCTCTCTACGTGTATTTCGGATATGCTGTTTTTGAAGCTAGGTTATTTGAATTAGACCATTTTTTCAACTGTACCCACACCATTAATTAAAGTTTTCTTTTGGTTTACCTTTCTGCTTTCCATACCTTAAGTCATCAATTCCCAAAGCTGCCTGAACTTAGAAAAGCACTGTTGTGTTGGTTAACTTCTTTGTTTTCTTCACATATTTTTGAAACTCGTCCTTCACCTGAATTTGCACTATTGGGGGATAGGATGCATTTCAAATTCTATGCAGCAAGGAGATCCGAATTCCATCCATCCGTGCATCATCATCTGACTCAGCGGAGCTGGAAGAAGATGGAGGTGAGGGCGGAGGATCAGCAGCTGTTGCTAAGGGAAGAGCTATTACACAAGCCGTTAAAAAAGGCCTAATTCAAAATACTGTCCCCATTTTCATAGAGTTGAAACGGTTACTGGAGAGTAAAAATAGTCCTCTGATTGGTACCCTTATGGAATGCCTCCGGGTCCTTCTCAAGGACTACAAGAATGAGATTGATGAGATTTTGGTAGCTGATAAGCAGCTTCAGAAGGAGCTTACTTATGACATGGAAAAATATGAAACGGTGAAGGCCAAGTCAGCAGCCGCTGAAGCTATTGCAACGAGACAGAGATCAGAAACCTATCAATCGCCCGGTGATCCTAGGATAGCAAGATCTGGTCCCTCACAAGAGCCTCTACATAGCCATTCAAAGGTGTCTTCAGCCATGGCAAGTGCAGTAGCTGCAACCAGGGCTCAGGCCGTGCTCAAGCAAGTTAACCAGGGTGCATCAACACCACCACTCAGTGCTATGAGCGTGCCTAAGCTCAAGTCTCGCACCAATGCTGTTACTCGAGGAGAGAAGTCATCAGATTTAATAGAATCTTTACGACGAAGACAATCTTTTGACTCTGACGAAGAGAACTGATTTGCTATCAAAGTATTGCAAGTCAGATCTGTTTCATGCAATTTTTGTATCTTTCTGATATAGTTTCTTTGTTCTGAGATGGAACAATGCATCATCAATCATCATCATCATCTGTGTAGGTGGCTCGAGATGGTCTTGAAGTGCACAAGTTCTGTCACCTTTCAATATTTTTGAGGGACACCTGACAATATTCCCACACCAAACTACCATTATTGACGTTTCACCCTCATGTTTGATGGTTCTAAAATTTTGACACAGCAACCATGAATGGAAAACTACTGTCCTTGTGTTCTATTTAGGGTTAAGGAGTATATTCGGATCTATAACTACCTTTTCAGAAAGAACGCACATGGCCTTAATCAGGACACTCGTTCACACATTTAACAAGTAGACCTTTAAGAAGCAAAGGGAAAATGATGGCATTGCACAAGCACTTCCATGCCATGCTTGACGCAAGGTGTCAACCAAAAACAAGAAACGAAGATGGGAAATAAGCAAGTATAATAGAACAACTTTTACATTCTCCAAAATGGTTACTGCCATAAGTCTTCAAATTTTTGGATGAATGTAGGTGTGGAAGTGGAAGCTCCTAAGGAAAAGGAGAAACAGTTTTGTCCGAGGCGAAAGAATGAAATCTTTCAAAGAGGTATGTTTCCAAGTATTATATATTTGCTAACTATAAAAAATAGTGTGAATAATAAAAAGTTTTATGAGGTGCAAAAGAGAATTGGTCGGGGACATTTTCATAATGTAGGGAAACCTCTCCCCGTCTCTTTCCTTCCTTGATCATTCCCCTGCTCCAAACAAATGTTGTTTAATCTAGCAAGTAATTTTTATTGCCTCTTTTTCCTCGGGCACCAATAAACAGGAAAAATGAAAATGTTACCATTACTAACAAACCGTTTTAAATTAGAAAATAAACTCAAAAAAAATTAGGAAATGATTTGTTTGGATAGTATATTATTTAAAATAGTTATTATAACACTTTTGTGATGTGACACATGTATACTAAAAATATAATTAAAAATATAAAAAAACAAATTAAAAAAATGTGTTTATGATTTTAAAAAAATATTATTAAAAAAAAATTTGGTATCTAACAAATACACTATCAGTCAAGAAAAACTGGCTGCTTTCACCACTTACCTTTTCTATTTATATATATTTTTTGACACAAAGATCAAAACTTCCCCCTCTCAAGAGCCCCATCTTCCCCAATTTTCCTCTGGGTCGGCCTTAAAAACTCGCGATTTCCTCTGTGCAAAGTGAGTAACTTCACTTCTTTTCTTTTATTTACTTTATTGTATAATCCATATTACATGTTCATTATCAAAGTTTCATTCGTGACTTTTGAAAGCCGCCCTAGTTTTATCTACCCTTTACCCTTTATCATGAACATGTAGGAGTTGTACCTGCTTTAGTAAATGGGAATTCTTTTGATTTTTTTTTTTCAAAAATTTCGTTGATCAGGTTAATTTGATGTCTTACTTACCATAAGATCCTGATTTTTCTGTGAAGGGGTCAAAATTAGCTCTTGGATAGTTAGGTTTTGGATCAGAAGAAAAGGAGAGAACATTGGGGTTGAATTTAATGGCCGTATCTTGAGTTAAATTGTTGAATTTTGAAGTGGGTTTTTCAAGGTCATAATGGATGGGAATAAAGATGAGGCTTTAAGGTGCATTGGCATTGCCAACGAGGCAATTGCGTCAGGGAATAAGCAAAGGGCCCTAAAATTTATCAAGATTGCGCAGCGATTAAATCACTCTTTATCGGTGGACGACCTGTTGGCTGCTTGTGAGGATCTTGATTCGTCGTCTGCTAGTCCTTCAAGTACTGTGTCGAGCAGCAATCATGTGAGAAATGAGGAGGGTGGGGTTAAGGTTGATGCGGTTTCAAACGGGGAGAGGACTTATACGGAAGAGCATGTCCAATTGGTTAAGAAGATAAAGAGTAAGAAGGACTATTATGCAGTTCTTGGTGTGGAGAAGAATTGTTCGGTTGAGGAGATTAAGAAGGCATACAAGAAACTGTCATTGAAGGTTCATCCTGATAAGAATAAGGCTCCAGGTTCAGAGGATGCATTTAAGAAGGTTAGCAAGGCGTTTAAGTGTTTGAGTGAGGATGACTCGAGGAGACAGTATGATGAAACTGGTTTGGTTGAGGAATTTGAGCATAATCAGCAGTATAATGTGAGACGGCGGAGAAGAACAACTGGGTATGGCATTTATGAAGATGATTTTGATCCAGATGAGATTTTTAGGGCCTTTTTTGGTCAGAATGACATGTTCAGGACAGCTCATGTTTACCGAACCAGAAGCGCAGGCGGTCAGCAAAGAGGAGATTTAGGTGGAAATGGGCCTAATCTCATGCTGCTACTTCAGTTGCTGCCATTTTTGCTAATCATATTGCTCGCGTATCTTCCATTTTCGGAACCTGAGTATTCTTTACAAAAGAACTACACCTATCAGTTCAGAAAGGAAACAGAAAAACATGGAGTAGAGTATTTTGTTAGGTCATCGGAGTTTGATCATAAATATCCAATGGGCAGTCCTGGACGAGAAAACATTGAAGTTAGTGTGATTAGGGATTACAAAAATATGCTTGGCCGCTATTGCCATATAGAACTCCAGAGGCGTCAATGGAACAGAAACTATCCAACTCCTCACTGTGACAGGCTACAAGAGTTTGGAGTTGCCTGAAAATTGGTAAATTTCTTCTATTTTATAAGAGACACATTCTTTATGTTTGATTTAGCCAGTTGTTACTTTTGCTGTGCAGTTCTTCATTGCATTTTTAATAAAAAAGGACTTTGTAGGGATACAATATTAATTGCTGTTGCTAATGGGATTAGATTCTGTGTTTCCCCTCTTATTATTTGATAAATAGTATTTGATTTGTATAAATGAATGAGCATTGAAGCTTCTGAATGAAGCTTATTAGTGTTGCCTGTTTGGAAATTAGATTTTCTCTTTAAGGAAACTAATGAAGTTAGGATTTGCGAGCTGTCACTATCATACTCAACTTTGAGGGTACTGGTAGATTTAGCTTCTGCATGGTTTTATTTCATCCTTGAATAATTTAATTTACCATTACAATCACACAAAGAAAGATTTAACACTTACCATATTGAGCTCCGTCTTTTAGGCAGTGATGTGCTTCTTGAAGTTGGAGTAATGTGCTGTACTTCTCAATATGTAATGAAATATGCAGCGGTGATGAAATGCAGTATAGACCCTTCTGTTTGTTGTACAGTGAGAGTCAGTTTTAGATGGAAGTTTCGTTAATCTCTTGTCTACTATGTCGTAATTCTCAACTAGTTTTTTGACTTACTGTATTCGTACTGCAATTTTGTGAGTAATAATATGGATGATTGCCTTGTCTAGTAAACATTATTGATATCCTATGTGGTCTCATGTTTTTCTCTGTACTGCCAAGTTCCCATCCTTGAGAGATAATTTAGTGTATAAACATCAATTTCTACATTGAGGAGGTGTAAATCATTATATCTTTTTACTGTCAAATACTATTTCCCTTTTTTTGTGTATCCTTGTTTTCCTTCTTTTTCATTCTTTTAGCTGTCCCTACCCCCCCTTCTCCCCACCGCCCCTCTCTCTCTTTTGTGCAAAGCAGTTTTCGTGTTGTATACATATAGGCCCACTGAATGATTGCTGGTTCATCCCTGCCAAATATAGGAAGTAATAGGTGAACAGAACTTTCCCATATCTGTAAAACGTATCTCCAGTTTAGAGATGCATCTGTCATGGAATTCCATTTTCAGGCTTGTCATGACATTCCTTTCAAAAGTTTAGGTTAGGTTGGCACATAGGGATATTGATGGCTTTGAAAAATATTGATGTCAGTCCATTTGACTTTATTTATACCTTTTCAATTCCACTAGAAACATACCTTTGACATGCGTTCAATTAAATCTCATTTAGTGTTGAATTGTTGACTACTTGCCCTTTGCTGCTTTTCATCATATGATGGTTCTCTAAGTTTTGTGCTATTGCCTGTGATTTATGTAATCTCATACTTTGTTAATCAGTAAGAAATTATATAGACTCATGGTGATTTTGCATGTTAAGGTTCCTGTACAACTTGACATGCAGATTCTTGTTGGCCGTTGAAGGCTGTCGAATTTCCAGCTGGGAATCTAACTCGGCTTTGCTTCTTTGTTGCGCTGATTTCAGCTTGGAGTAGATGGCGTGATATTGCATGACATTTGTTTGACGGACCAAGATATAGTTGGTGGGGTAGTTGATCCATTGCTCCATCACTGTTTGATCTCAAAACTGCAGAAGATGGTTTCGTGCGTCCAGGTCACCTAGTAGTGCTATTCTTATCAGTTGTATAAATAATTTGTTTAGAAATTACCTGCATTATTGCATAGTGAAAAACTATACTGGATGGAGTGACAGTTGTAGCAAACCCGTAGTTCACTTTATAATAAAATGATATCGGCAGCAGAGCTTCCTGGTTATGCAATTCGTTGTGTTCTAGGTAATTCATGATATGCTTGTCTCTATAGTCATGAATTTCTTTGCCTTCCTTCGCGGTGGTCTGGGTCTCGTATCCTTTGACTATCATCACAGCTGAAAACTCACCATTTATGCTCCAAGTTCCCTTCAGGCGTCCATCCAGGCTTTTGAGTTTCTTGTGGTTTGTGTATGGCATAAGAATCATCTTTCGTACAGGTTATATGTAAACGCCTTAGCAGATGCTGCTTGATACTTATGATTACTGGTTCTTGGCTCTGCATAAGACCCCAGTGTGTGGGTCATTGATTGTACAGTTTGACTTAGTTATCCTCCGCCACCCCCCCCCCACCCCACCTGCGTTTATTTCAAGTTTACTGGCCATTCTGACTCTAGCTCAGTACTCTTGTGGGGATTAGTTTTACACCTCCATTCCCAAACGTAAAAGCAGAAGATATCCCCACATGCATGTGCCGGCTGACAAGCGTACTCCTAGTTTGTTTTACTCCTGGCAGTATATGTTGGTACTCGCTTTAATCATTCTTCATGCTCATGCGGGCAATGAAGGCCCCAGCAGACAGAAATTAGTAAATGGTCCATGGAAATTGTTTCGTAGCAAGGAAGAAATTATTGGGGGGACTGCTAGATGTACTATGAATGAACTAATAATTAGCCTCTCCCCAACAGGGCACCATGTATGTATGTGAAGCTTTTGTTTCTCTAACACAAATATCAGCCATTCAAGTTCTGTTCTTTTACACTTCTCTAATAGTCTCACAATTACGAGGCAGCTGCATTCGTTTTAACCTTCACGGTTGTTGAATTGTTGACGTCTTCCAAACACTTTGCAACCACAGGTAATACTACTAATAGTTGTTGTGCGCATCCCCGAATTGGTCCCAGTCTGACTTATAGTGCGTTTGGGAGGAAGGATTTGGCCACAAAAGAAAAGAGAGTGACAGATTGGGAGATTTTTTATGCCAAAAAAAAAAGAAGGGAAATGGGCCGATATGGTCGATCCATTTGTAGGCTACAGTAGAGAAAAAATTTCTGCCCGTTTTGGCCTGATTTGGACGGAAAGTGGAAGAGTGGCTAAAATTTTTTTATTTAAATATCAATTGTGTCCTTAAATGGTTATTGAACAAATTTTTAATATATAAATATATATCCAAAATCTTTCCATTTTTTCTTTAAGTTATCAAACAACATCAAATTTTTTTCTTCTTTTTTTCACATCCTTTCTTTTCTTTCACAACTTAAGGTTTCTTTTCTATCCTAAACTCCCAAACTAGCTATTCGTTTATAGGGATGTCAAAATGGCCGGAAAGTGTGTAAATTGTGCATGTGAATGTTATATAACTGTTATCGTTGTGACCAAAAAAAAAAAAAAAAAAGAAAGGGCATGTGAAGAAGGCATGAAGAAACTTTTCTACTTTGCAGAGTCATATTGTTTTGTTTGGTAATATGAAAAATATCTAAATTTCCATTTGTCAGTAACTGCAGAGTCATCCCACTTCTTCTGACTTTGCACCACAATTCTTCGAAAACCACATAAAAATAGAAGTCAAAATCAACGTGCAAAAAACCTAAATTAATGCGTTGTAGAAGTGAAGAAGACAGCCAATTGAAGAGAGCAATATGAACACCGGCCACCGGCCGGAATTGCCGACAGCCAATCGTCGGGTCTATGCCGGCCCATAGTAATAATAATAATAATAATATACCTCCTTCCTGTACGATTGATAAAATCTTAAAAACAACAATGGATTAAGCAAGAGTGATTTTGTCACATTGATACCGGCCATATTCACAATGCAGTACAAATGGACATAAATTGGCAATAATAATAACAATATCCGCAGCTCGCGGTATATCGCAATGTGCAAGCCTCAATTTTCATACAGCAAAGTTTTCTCTACGTCCGTCCATACAGTAGTACTGTTTACGTATACCCTTACCAGTTACCAGACAAAAATTAATGAAAGATTAAAAAAAAAAAAGAACAAACGTAAGCAAGAAAGCATAGCAGTAGCAGATTAAAATACTAATAAGTAGTAGTAAATCACTTGATCTAGTTGAAGCACGGACAAGCCCCTCCCAGCTGATTGTTCATTCTCCTGAATCATCATCACCTCCAAAGATGGAAACGCGGTTGTAGAGAAGGAACAGTATGAGTACAAGAAAGAGAGCAACGCCTACCGGAGAACCACTAACCCGGTGGATGGTGTTAGGCTCTCCAGTAGAAAAGATGCTAGAAATGAAGGAGCCACTTTCTGAAGAGAGGAACTGGATGGTGAGGAGGAGGATGATGGGGAGGAGTAAAAGTCCAACTGGGCTCAGAAGATCGGCTATGAACTCGGTGATAGCTTCACCTTGATCTCCTACAAGCATAGGGACTGCTAGCACCACCACCACCACCGCCGCCAACAGAATACCATGCGGAGGGCCGCGGCCGCGATCTTCAATCATTTTTTTGATCTTCAATGGAGAGATCTTAGCTGGTTTCCTTCCGGTTTCAAGAATGTGGTTTGGTTTTCTGATATCTTGAAGTCTTTCTTCTTACTCTTGCGGAGCTGTGGTTGTGGGGGGGATGTGTTTGCTTTTCCTTTTTCTTGCTTGGCTTTATGATGTTTGTTTGTCTTTCTTTTAGACGGCTAAATGAGTGAGACGAGTAGGCTGGAATGGCCTTAAAATGTATAGTAGTCTCATGGACGCGCTTTGTTTGAATAATTTTTTTCTTTTACACCTGAGCTATGGAAGTTGAAAAAGGGTTCTGGTTTGGATTGGTCTGCCTCGTTTCATTGCAAGAATAACCGACCGCGGGGCGGGCACTAGCATTCCTTGTGACAACTATCAGCTTGTTTGGATGGTTTTTTTTTTTTTTATTTTGTAGAAAAATATGTTATGGAGATTTAATATATATATATATATATATATATATGAGATAAAAAATGATTAAAAATATATATATATATATATACATAGTAACAATGTATTTAAAATTATGGTACTATTATTTTAGGCCATGATACGAAGAGCAATACAAAATTATAGTGGGGTTTCGTACTCCACTTCCAGGAACATGCAGAAGAGTTTCCTACGTCTTGATCGCAGATTTGGAAAAACTTTTTTTTTTTTTTTTTGGGTTAATTACTGATCATTGTGGAACTTGAAACTAATTTTGCATTAACCACAGTTGTATAATAAATGTAACCCAACTTCTTAAATCATGTATTCAATAGAGGAGCCGAAGTGTTTTTTTTTTTTTTTTTTTTTTTTTGTACTTTCATTGTATGCCAATGAGCCAAAAAGTTAACAGTAAACTTTAGATTTGAGTTTTTGACCACAAAACAGGAGTTAAAAAAAGAAAAAACCAATAACTTTAATGTTTGAGTTAAAAGTAAAATATATTGGTCCCAATTTTTTTCAATCCGTCAGGATTTTTGCCTGCTGCTCCCACTCTAAACAAAACCACCCTAGGAAAGAGATAAGAGACTTTCTTTCTAGGTTCCATGCAATGTCCTACTGCATTCAATTTCACTAAGTGCTGTCCCTTTTGCCATTGATATTCCATTTCTTGATTTATCACATCATTCTCAATTCTCATAAGCAGCCGGGCAATTCCCTCAAAAAAAATTGCAGTTCATCTTGTCTAGTGCTAGCTGCTTTTCAAGGAAATGCTTATTCAATTACAGATTTACCATTGGAAGATAGTAAAAAACTACTTAGTTAAAAATTTTGCCAAGCAGCATTTGTTATAGAGTGTAAGTAGTGAGGTTTCGTTATAATAACAAAAGAATAGGAAAGAGGGCATTGGCGAATACGAGGTCTCCATCTGTTGGCTAATAATGGTCATAGAGATTCTTTTGTTATTATGATATTTTTTTAAGAATAAAATGAGAAACTAGAAAGGAAAGAGGAAAACCCAAAATTAAAAGAATTGAAAGACTAAAAAAATTGTATATTTAGAAAAGTGATTTGAATATTTTTTTTAATCATTTAAGGAGAAGATAAATATCTGCAATTTTTCTTTTTTAATTTCAATCGTTAAGGTGAAGATTTTTGTGGGAAAGAGAAAGAATTAAATAAAGAAGAAAGAAATAAATGAAATAAAAGAAAGGAAAACAAGGTAAATGAAAAGTCAAAATAATACAAGGGCAATTTTGTCCTAAAGGGGGTTAAGTGAGCAAAATTAAAGGTTAGGGGGTAAACTGAAAGATAGGATATTCTTTAAGGGGATAAAATGTGATTAACCCTTGTAATAACAAAAGAATAGGAAAGAGGGCATTGGCGAATACGTGGTCTCCATCTGTTGGCTACTAATGGTCATAGAGATTCTTTTGGGGGACCAAATTAATTAACCAAAATCTCGTAGTGGTTGCATCATCAAATATATATTTTGCCTCCTCAGTCGTCAAGAATCATGACATCTAATTAAACACCTTCAGATGGGAGCCGCGTTTTGAAATTTAAATATTTTTTGTTTAATTATTCACTAAGGTCCACAGCAAAGCAAATAGTAGTAGTACTAGTTTATGGGAGGGAGCCAAGGGGATGGCTTTGTATAAAGACTAAAGTTGCATCGCTTTAGTCAAGAAAGCCAATGCCCAATAGGTGTGTATCATGGACTTCGAGGAATTGAAAGTGTGGGAGCCTTGAAGCAACAAAGCAAAAAATGCGGTCGTTTCCATGCACTCGGGACTTGCGACTTTTACGACAAACCACATACACCACATGTTTCTCTCTTAGCTATGTATATATTAGGGCAGTAAACAAATCCAACCGCTCGCCGGTCAATATTCGATTCGATTTCGATTAACATTGAATTCAAGCTGGCTAAATTGAACTCGATTTTAAAAATATTAAATTTGTTAGATTCGCGAGTTCTAGTATATATATATATATTTTTTTTTTATTTTATTTTATTTTAATCATGAGCTAAAGTATATATTTTTTATTTTAATAGTAAAATTACATAATATATCCCTAATATTTTATTATTTATTAAAA